GAACGTGGTATTCCTCCGGATGTACGCGGCTGGCCTCCGGATGAGCCCTCCACGGAACCATGCCGCCGTCCGTCTTCTTCTTTTTGCTCGGGGGGGATGGTCCGCCTCCAGGGCCGAGCCTATCCGCCAATTTTCGGGGAGGGGCTGCAGGAGCGCCGTCCCTCAATCTGATCTCCTCCTCAATGGAGGCATACTTCTGCGCCCGAGCCAGCACCTCAGTGTAGCTGGTGCTGGGATTCCTCCGAAGGTCTCGGTATAGGTCCCCCGTCGCCAGAGCACTGGTGAACAGATTCACCCCCAGCCGCTCGTCCAGGTCGTCCACCTGGAGTACTTCGTCTCTCCACCTGACCAGGAATTGGGCCAGAGGTTCGCCCTTTCCTTGCTTCACACTGGTGAGCGATGTGAAGCTCTTCTTGGGGGTGGTGCTGGCAGCGAATTGGGCCATGAACTGCTGGGACAGCTGCTCGTAGTTGTCAATAGATCCGGGCCTCAGCTGCCCGAACCATTCCTGCGCCGGTCCCCTCAGGGTGCTGAAGAAAAGCCGGCAGATAGCCTCATCGGATGCCCCCAGCATGGAAAGGTTCCCCTGGAAACTGATCAGGTGAGCCTTGGGATCTCCGGTCCCATTGTATACTATCCCTTGGGGGGGCCTGCAGTCCCGCGGAATCTCGGCGTTCATGACCATCGGAGTGAAAGGCGAGGTGAGGGAAAAACGTGGTGTAGCCGGGGTGGCCTCCGCTCGTCTGTCCATTTCGGCTATTCGCCGCTCCATTGCCTCTAGCCGGGCCTCCTGTGCGGCCCTTCCGGGGGACACAGGAGGGGCGGCCTCGAGCGCAACGTTCCTTCGAGGGGCAACCGCGTCGGGTTGCCTTCGGGTGATATGGGCACCATGCCTTTGGAAACGTCGTCCAATATTACTGGCAGCGGGGGTGATGGTGGTGCCCTGATGTTCTGAGGGAACGTCCGGCGTACGCCCTCGATGATCGTCCTGCCAGCCATACCGAGGAGTGCTGGCACCGGTGTGCCCCCCAGTTCCGTGGGAGGATGGATTTTGACCCAACCTCATGTGGATGGGCGTCCGACGCCCGGCCGATTCCGCTGTCTCATCCAGGGACTGCATGCGGTGGATGGGTGATATGGGTGTCCAGACGGTGTTAGCTGAGTACACCTCTTCGTTCGCCTCCTGTTCGTCCGCCATTCGGCGCATTGTTTCTGCCAGCTCCCGCATGAGCCGAGGGTCATGCCTGGCCTCATGGGGGATGAGGTTTGTGAGGCCACCCTCTCCCCCGGTTGTCCCCAACGTCTCGGAACGCTCTGTGGTCTGTCCGCGGTTGCTTCGTCCGCGGGACAGCTGCTCGGAGAGGTCACGTTGGCGGTTGTTTCTTGTCATCGTGCTTGCTGTGGGTAGATTTAGTAGCTGTTTGGGAGAGTTTTTTGGAAACTTTTAGTTCAGTTTCCCACAGACGGCGCCAGTGTTGAGGTTTATTCCTTCAACCCCCGGGTCCAACACGTAAGCCCAAGGATTTCGAATGGAGTGTGTGATTAAACTAGCCCAACAAGCAGATGATATGGATTAGGAAAGCAGTAAGGTAGCGAGTAAATGATTAGGTATTATTATCTCTTAATAACTCCCTAATACAATACTTTTCGCTAAGGCTCCGTCGGCCGTTCGTCTCACAAGGCAGTAGAAGTGCTGCGAGTAAGAATGCTATAGCTAGAGTGCTAATAATAGAAAGTTGCCAACCCTTTACAATGAAATAAATGCTTCTATTTATACCCGCCAATGGGCAGGTGGCCATGCTGACGTGGAGGCTTGTGGACCGCTTGTGTCCCAACCACCAAATCTTCAGCATTAAATGCACTTCCCGCCAGAATCTAGGTTTCCCGCCTAAATAATGGGGACGTTCGTCCGCCTGGGAAGTGAGCTAGATCACTCCAAGTGACCCTCAAGAGGTTCCGGCTGTTCGTCTCCTGGCCTTGATGGATTCTCACCATGTGGACTGGGTTTCCTCCGATGACTATGGGCTTGCTCAGGAGACGTTCGTCGTCACCCCTGCTGGCCTGTGGTCCTGCTCCTTGCCCCTGCATAGACATTCGTCGGGAGGAGCCGCTGGGCCTGAACTCCCAACCCCAGACGCTCGTCCCTTCCCAAGGAGTATGGGCCTGCGGGCTGGCCTCGTGGTCTGACTGGACGCACGTCTGGTGAAGAAAAGGTTAGTGGGCCGGACCTCGGTTTGGGCCCTTAACCCAACAAGATCTATAGCTTAAAATTTTAATCATGATCTCAACATTGAGTTTTAGAAAAATAAAATATATAGAGTAACATTTTAGGAAATAGGACATTATTAATACTTTTTTTATATAAATAATTTTGAAGACAAAATAAATAGCAATTTGGCTGATTTATCTATTTTTTAAGGAACTGATTTATCTGTTAAGTGGGCAAAACAAAGATACTTTATTTCTTCAATAAAATGTAATAAAAAATAAGAAGTATAACAATAATAATAAAAATTATACGTGGTTATAAAAGTACTTTATAAAAAGTACTTCGTATGATTAATTGGTTATTTAATTAGTGTGATTCCAATTAATGAATTTCGTAATTATTAAATAGGTTTTGAAAAAGTTTCCAAATAAGGTGGATTTTTATCATAAAGTCTTTTGTTTCCATATCAATATGCAATCAAAAATAAAATCTAATAAAATAAATAAAAGATACGAAATATTAAAAAAATTAAATGATGGATGACACGGTATGATTAGGTGGTGCTTTGTATGCTCTAAAAAAATTCCTCTTTTATATATACACTAGTTATGTAACGCGCGTTGCGCGTGCGTGGTAATGCCCAAGGCCATTGCAAGGATACTGATAAATAGGCAAACAACAAAGACTACTATTTTAAACTTTAAAACGACACGAAATTTTTTCTCTGTACCGTTTTACACTAACAATATTCATGCTTTTATAATTGTAGAGAAAGCTCTAATAATTATAAACTTTCTCACATGTAAGGAGAAAAAATTAAAAGCATATTTTAACAATAAAAACTCACAAACCCACACAAAATAATATACCTAAAAAAATTATCATTGCCAAGAGTAAGTGGATGTCTTATTGATGCATGTCATGTTTAAGGAATTAAGGGATATTACCTTAAATGGGACTGAAAACGTTTGCATATTTCAAAATAGGAGTATCATGTTTTTACTCCCAAAATATGAGTAATCACTGCCATGTTTTTTTATTGTACTAGACTTTAAACATGACAGTATTTTTTAAGCTTGACAATAATTACTCATATTTTGGGAATAAAAACATGACATTCCTATTTTGGAATTCTCAAACATTTTTACTCATATTTCGGGAATTATCCTTGTGTTTGACAAAAAAAAATCATTTGTTTAAACTCTCAGAAATGTCCTAACATTTATTCTCTAAAATTCTAAAGGAAATGTTACTTTACTAAACCAAACTTAAGCTTCATTGTGCCGGAAAAATTCAAAACCAATACAACACTATATATAACATGAAATTCCTTACCCTCCACGGTAACATAATACTATCTCCGTCTCACTTACAATGAGACCAGACGAGGTGACACGATTATTGAGAAATGTGAGTGTATGTGGTTGGTATTGAATGGATCGATAAAATAAGAATAAACTCATAATGATTTAGAACCACACAAATTTTACTAAATTTAGATCCCATATATGTGACAATTTTAGTGGGACGGATCGACCAAAAAGAAAGATGAGCTAGTTTTAGCGGAATGGAGGGTGTAATAATTTTGTTCATAATTCCCGATTTTTATTTTGAAGGGTGTGTTATATCTCTATTGTTGCAAAGAAAATTGAAACTCTAGCGCATTAACAATCAAGTGAATAAACGTATTAGTAAAAGTGGCTTGAGTCAAATTAAAATTTAGAGTAGAAAAAATGTATCCAAATTTCATCCCATTTTAGAACCCGTTTGGTAGCACGAAAATCGACTGATTTGGCTGATTCTTCTGAAATTTATGAAGTTCTGGCTGAAATAACTACATTGGCTGATTCTGCTGATTTAAGAAAAAATTATTTTAAAATATATTTTACTAATTAAATAAAGAAAAAATTATATGTAAAAATATCTAAAATGGTCATCTACACTATCTTCATCCAATATAGCCAGAAAAGTAACTCAAGCCTTACGTTTTCTACTTATTACACAATTCAGCACGCGAAAGCAAAATTTACGTGTTTGGTAAAAAAGTTGACTGATAAGCCTGATAAACCAAAAACAGTGTTGACAAACGGCCTCTTAACCTAAACTCGTTGTCCAAAACTGCTTTTGTGCGTGATGCTTAGATATGGACGAATTATTCATACGGATATGATTTAAGAGAATCACAATTAATGATAGCTTCAATCTAATTAATTAGTTCGGTGGAAGTAAACGTTTGGCAAGCCAAGCAGATAAGGAGAAATGAATGGGTTCTCAAGAGATCTTCACTTTGACGGAAAAACTAACGGGAATGTAAAGAAAGTCATGTGAGGTACAATAGTTTAATCATTTTGTACAATTATGTATTGCTATGGGATACAACCAACACATTTTCTATACCCAAAATACCCTAACCCTTATTCACTCTTATAAGTTTGTAGAGATATATCGATTACTAATGATGATCGATTACTAATGATGATAGGGGTTTATATACACTAAATTTCTCATTTAATTCACTAGTTCAAAAGTTGCAATAAAGCACCGAGTCTCAAGATCCTCGTTTCAAAGTATCAAACACTAATGAGAAAACGATTAATGTGATCATGAATATATTGTATAAAAATTAAAAAGTATTCCAATCTGTGCAGAAAGTACTTGAATGTATGAGTTTAATTAATCAATTTTATAAAGATCGGGAATGTTTTTTAATTCGACTATTTCTAATTCAGATAAGATTATACTTGAAAAGTTCAATATAATCTAACAAAAAAAGTTTACTATACTCAAGTTTGCCTCTTTAGATTTAACACTTTGCTTCACATTGGATATAACACTATTTAGATAAAGAAATAATTATCCCCCATATGACTAAAACACTTTCACTTTCCCAATCTAAGACCAAACTAGTTTTTTTCTCAAAATATTACCTAAATTTGTATTATTTAATTAAAATTCGTAATTAATAAATAATTAAATTATTTCCATGGACAAATATACCCTTTATGTTATATCTATAAAACCCTAAGCTCCTACCCTTTTTCTCCAACCTTAGCAACTAGACGCAAAAGATCTCTGGCTTCCTGCGCTCCCCGCACGCCTTGCTGCCGCCGGCTCACCGTCCGCCGCCGTCCAATAGCACGGCCGCCGCCACCAGTCCATCTACTCGCAGATTTCACGGCCACCCCCAATCCCTCGCTAGTTCTCTGCGGGCATCGCCAAAAATCGACCTCGCAGCACGCAACCTCCATCCCTAGACCCGTGTGTTGCTGCCGTCCCAAGCCATCAACGTCGCCGTCGTCCCGATCCCTGTTCGCCAACACTGTCTCAGACCCCTCCTTGTCGCTGCCAAACCAGTTCCCTCCACGGTCGCTGCCAACCGCACTCCAAGTCGCTGCCGCTAAGCTGCGCCCCTCCGCCGCTCCAAGAACTCATATTCTTCAGTCAAGGCGGGTGAAGTGGATGGCGGACCAAGGTTGAAGACGAACCCTAGGTTGAAGACGATGAAAGATAATGTGTTGTGAATCATTTATATTTAATGCCATGAACATCACAATAAGTGCAATGAGTTATGGCACAAAGTGCGATGATATGGCAAGAAGTACAATAATGTAAAACATGCAATGACATGAAAAGAAGTGCATTAAAAATAACATGAAAAAAGTCTATAAATTCGTAGCATTTTGTGTAATATTGTGCTATAACTCCATCATGAAGTGCATTATATTTAACTAGATCTAAAAACTAAAGTTGTGAAATCTAAAAAATGGTAATATCATAACATTTTTGTTATGTAGTGCAGTGAATATTGTCATAAAGTGCAATAAATGTAGTGCAATGACCACTTCATAAATTGCATTTGATAGAGTATTAATTCTAGAGAGAAGTGAGAGCTAGAGAGAGAAAGTGAGTAATTATATTTCTCAACCCCCTATAACTAGCCCCAAGGGGTCTATTTATAGGTAAAAATGTGGATTTGGGCCCCTAGCTATGGGCTTAGGAGGCCCATTACAATAATCATGCCTTCTTTGGGCGAAATAGGGCCACTAATGGGCTGTGTACAATACTTAGCAAATAAAGTAGAGAGATGCATTCTGCCAGGGCGAAGTCTGGCCGATGCGGTCTCATGGCCGATGCGGTCCATGGGCCGATGCGCCCCCCCGGGAGTCCTGGCGTGCTTCCTGGGCCGGTTCGGTTTCTGGCCGATGCGGACCCGCTGGCCGAGGGGGGCCACGTGGGTGGTGTTCTGGTCATCGTTGACTTGAGTATGGGGGCCATGGGGTCCAGGCCCATATACTCTATCAGCATTATTTTTACCTGGACGAAATTAGTGTAAAATGCATATTTTTTAAAAAGGGGTAGTTTTGTCCTTCCACAATTTAAAATAACGAAAATATCTTTTTTTTTTCAATTTTTGGTCATATTTCGGGAAGAAAACATAACTACTCACATTTCAAGAAACTCACTTTGTTTTAGTCATATCCCGGGAAATTTTCCTTAGATAAAACACTTCACTTCTTGCAAAACTTGTCAAATGTTTGGTTAAGACTCGGGGTTCCATCTTAAAAGGTCAACCTGATAGGAGGAGGAGCCCAAAACTTTATATAATGTTTAATTGTTTTATAGCTTTCCGTTGTAGGACAAATACTTTAACACACCCCCTCAGATTAAACTGGACTGGACAATATTGAAGTGTATAAATGAGCCAAACAAACCCTTAACAAGCTACCCATAATCATGGGTGCTAAACAAGCCGTCAAACCACAATCGGAATTGGCTCTGATACCATGTTAAGACCCGGAGTTCCATCCTAAAAGGTCAATTCCGATATGTGATAAATGCTTTAACAGTCTTAACAAAAAAACTCAATCATATTATCATATATACTACGTAGTGTGTAATTACATACCATCTCTAGTGACAACAACAACATTCAAGCCTTATTCCCAAAAGCATTTGGAGTTGGCTAACATGAATTGATCAATGCTATCATATAAGAAAAATAACGTAAGAACATAATATAGATAAAAGAGATAAAGAACACAACAAAAATAAAAGATGAATATAAGAACATAGAATGATAAATAAAATAAAAGATAAAAGAAGAAAGAGAATAGGAAGAAAAGGAATCAATTATCCACACGTGTATGCGCCCTTCACTTAGCTCTGTCCAAATCCATACTTTCATTGAACCCAAAAAGAAGCATTTCAGTTCTGATTCCTCTAATCCAAATCTGTTAGAAAATTCCCAAAACTTTCAACCATTAATTTGATTGTAGTCTTAAGAAGTGTCATTACAATTATGTCCCTACATTGTGATAGATTAATATTATTTAATCATTATTTGTAATTATCTCTTTAATATTACTTGTATTTATCTATACCTTTGTACTTGTATTCCTTGTAAATAAGAGAGCTAAACATGCCTCCTAACTTAATATATAAATACGTGGCTATAGCTATCAAAAGGCTAAGCCTCATTTTCCCAAACAATCTTCATGGTATCAGTGCTCTCAATCATATCAGATTGATTCGATCCATTTTTTTTCTTCTCGGCAGCCTAACTATTCCCCAACATGTCTTCTCCATCTCCCTCCAGTAACCTTATCCCTTCTGATACAGTTCCACAGCTGATCTCCTTAAATGCTTCTTCCCAAATTCCCACCAAACTCTCCAAAGATGGCTCTAATTATTCATCATGGAAATCCCAGTTAACCAATCTCTTTTTTGGTTATGATCTCCTAGGCTATGTTGATGGCACTACTCCGTGTCCGGCCTCCACTGATCCAAACTACAATTTTTGGAAACGACAAGATCGTCTTGTTCTTCTTGCTATCCAATCTACTGTGACAAATAATATTTGTCCTATTATCAATTCGTGCACCACATCTGCCAATGCTTGGCAAAAACTTGAATCCAGTTTTGCCAATACATCTACCACTCGGATGTTATCTCTTCTCTCCACGCTTATGAACACCAAGAAGGCTGGAAAAAACGTCACTAAGTATATGAACATTTTAAGAACACTCATTGATGATCTTGTTACTACCGGTCACCCTCCCAGTGATGGACAAATTGCCTCATATGTTCTTGGAGGTCTTGGAAATGAATTCAAAGATCTTGTTGGTGCCCTCCGTATCCAGTCTACACCTCCCTCTTTTGAAGATCTCCGCCACTATCTGCAAGATGCAGAACTTCTCAATGGTGACTCACCAGCTGCATTTGATGTCCCTATCACCGCTCAGTACACTCAACGACGTCCCTCATCCCGCGGTCGTGGAAGTCGTGGCCGTGGACGTCAATCCGGCATGCCGCACCATTCTGGTTTTGGTCCTCAAGCCTCTCATGATTCATCCCCTGGAAGCTCTAATCGTTCATCATATGGCTCATCTATTCAATGTCAATTGTGTGACAAGTTTGGCCACACTGCCAAGTCATGCTATTCTTACAAAGGCCATCCAAGTGCCCATGTTGCAGCAAACCATGATCCAGGCCATTCCTCTAATTGGCTCCTTGACTCCGGTACCACTCACCACATAACCTCCGACATCAACAACCTTCAGATTCATTCCGATTACACTGGTGCAGATTCGGTTGCAATGGGTAATGGTAAGACTATTCCAATTACTCACATCGGGTCTTCGGTTATTCTTTCACCTGATTCAAAATTTACACTCAAAAATGTTTTGTGTGCTCCTCTTATCCGTCGTAATCTCCTTTCTGTTAATCAATTTTGTACTCAAAATAATACATCTATTGAGTTCTCACCCAATTCATTTGTTGTGAAGGATCTAATCACGGGGGCATCCTTGGCCCGAGGCCGGAGTGAAAATAATCTCTATAATTGGTCCACTCTCACACCACAAGCCAATACTGTCTCACCCGCTCTGTGGCATCAAAGATTGGGTCATAAATTACCCTTTACAGTTTCCTCAATAAATTGTAATAGCCCGTTTCAATATATTTTTTCTGATGTATGAGGCCCTGCTCCTATTCTTGGTTATAATAAATCCCGATTTTATGTTATTTTCGTTGATTATTATACCAAGTATACATGGTTGTTCCCACTCAAACACAAATCTGACGTTTATTCAGTGTTCATTAAATTTTGTACCTTAATTAAAAATTATTTTGGTACACAAATTAAAACACTTTATACGGATGGTGGTGGTGAGTTCTCCGCCCTATCACCTATTCTCACTCAGCATGGTATTCAACATCTTATCTCCCCTCCATATACTCCTCAACATGTGGGATCTGCTGAAAGAAAACATCGTCATATTGTTGAAACATCCTTTACATTACTCTTTCATGCATCCGTTCCCCTATCTTTCTGGCCACACGCCTTTCAATATGCCACTTATCTCATAAATCGTTTACTTACACCCACTCTACAGAATAACAGCCCGTTTTTTAAATTATTTGGTGATACCCCCAATTATGTGTCACTAAAAGTTTTTGGCTGTTTGTGTTATCCCTGGCTCCGTCCGTATACCACTCATAAACTACAACCACGTTCTAGCCCATGCGTCTACCTTGGTTTTTCTTCTGTTCACCACGCTCATTTATGTTTTGATACTCTGACCAAAAAAATACACACTTCCCGTCACGTTGTATTTTTTGAAAACCAATTTCCATATACTCTACACACTCCCCCTTTGGTTCCCCCTAACCATGTATTAAAAGCCTTTTCTCCTTCCTCAAAAAAAATCGAGATGAATATAATTATCGAGAAAGGCATTGTTTTAATTGAGTTTTGGATGAATATAATTATCGAGATGTGATCGGAAAAAGTCATTATGATTGAGTACTGTAAATTTTTATGAAGTATAATATAATTAGATGAGTGCTTAGCTAATCAATTGCAACGTTAATATTTAAATACAAGTAATATCATTAAGAAGATAAAGAAATAACATTATAGAGGTACTTGCAACATAATAATATTCTTGAAGTATATAACGTAACAACGTAAGTACCAGCTACAGAGTATTATATTTTAGACTGTTGTATATGCTTAAATAGTACGAGTAATAATAACGACAATACAATGTAACTAATCCATGTACATAGTGTTTAGTAATGATAAAATACTCCGTACTTATTAAAATCGGTACTTATTAAAATGAATATAGATTAGATGAGATAATTATTACGGATTGGAGTATAGAGGTCCATTAGGTCAGAGGAGGGTGACAAAGACTCGAACTTCACCGTAATTACCTAATATATTTTTCGTCTGAGTTTCGAAGACATCAAAGCTGACATATCCGTTAGCAATTTGGTAATCATGTGGGATGACGTCTTAATCCCACAAAACAGTAGTGACTGTCATACCAGTCAAAGGCACAACCACGAGTGGTCTAATGGAATGTTTTGATAAACTTCAACGGAAGAATGATTACCTTTGTCAAACAATGTGATAGGGGGAGACTCCCCATCGACGAGCAAAACCAACATAGTGGCGCCGAGAGCATATGTGATAACGGAGTAACTGATCTGAACACGACCGTATTTGTCGTCCACAACATTTTCCAATTGGTGATCATAATTCTCGAAAGTTTGATTCTCGATTACGAAACAATGTTACCGAGGGTGATCTGTTCATTAGGAGAAAAATTTCATAGTCCAAGAGGTTGACGCTAATGACGAAGATATCGTCCCCGCAAGTGGAAAAGGCCTGTCAGTGTGGCATATTTGTCTGGACCTTTCTTCTAAGAGTCATGTGAGGCCCTGTTGTACGCGGTAAATTCGTCCACCCAATGTTGAACCTTCATGGTTCTGTGAAGGTCACCTTGGTCCTCTCCATCAATACCCACCAAGAGAACATACTCGATTTTGACCAATGTGCGGTAGTACAATGGTTGAAGGAGGATGTTGCGGTGGCCACTTGTTGGAGAGAAGTACAACAAAAGCACAAATGTAGCACGGACTTGACCTAATGTCAAAATGTCTTCAGAGTTGGGGTTCAAGATGTCGGGCAATTGAGTGTTGTCATCAGCAGTGTGTGGGGTTCGCTGGACAAAGCCAGACAATGAATCGAAAGATTGCTCTAACCCTACGAGCTGTAGGGATAGTGGTTCAGGAGTGTTTCGGTTTGTGACGATGTATTGGGTGACCTGATAAAACCTGGCAGATTCGGCAATCATTTGAACGAGACAAATCAAAGCTTTAATACAGTTCTTCTGTGAAACACTTTCTGATGTGTTTGAGTTAGGTGTCCTGAATAGCGTGAAAATGGTGTTCACCATGTTCAACCCACTCAGATGAATGGTTTCACGCGAAGCACCAAAACCAAAAACAATATTGTAACCACTCTTGTAGCTCCAAATGTAAGCCAGACGCCTAGAACCTGAAATATATGTGTTACCCTCGAACTCCCAGAATGTTGCGTCGTTATATGGGAAGTAACCACACACGTAGACGTTTCTTTTGTCGATCCAAAAGGTGCTGACGTCGCTATTGTCATTACTGATGAGCCAGACATCTTACCTAGCTTGTCGGGTCTATCTATGGTGGGAGGACAAGGATATTAAAATGGAAATGAAATAAGATATATATACGTGTTTTGGTGAGATTAGGTCGGATACCCGTTCGGGTATACAGGATACTCGACCTGGTATCTTTACCAGTAGCTACGAAAGTGTTGAAATCTTGTCAACATACCCGGTAGGGTATGACTATATTTCAACACTTTCATAACCACTGCTCAAGATACCATGTCAGACATCCTATATACCTGGTTAGGTATTCGGCCTAATCTCATCCAAACACATACAAATATACCCCATTCCCTTCCAACTTTAATATCCTTGTCCGCCAACCATTGACGAACTCGGCGAGCTAGGTAGATGTCCGGCTCATCATCAATGACAATGGTGATGCCATCACCCTGACAATCGATAAGAGAAACGTCTACGTGCGTGGATACTCCACGGATAACAGCGCAACATTCTGGGAGTTTGCGGACAACACGGATATTTCGGGTTCTAGGCGACTTACAGTGGACGCTACAAGAATTATTGCCCAATTTTGTTTCCGCTTCTGTTGCTTCACGTGAAACCATTCATCTGGGTGGGGCCGAACAGTGAATGTCATTTTCATGCTATTCAGGACACCTGACCCAAACACATTAGAAAAGGATACGTTGAAGAACTGCGATAAGGCTTTGCTTTGTCTCGTTCAAATGATTGCCGAATCTACCAGGTTTTATCAGATAACCCCACACATCGTCACAAACCGGAACACTCCTAAACCACTACCCCTACACTGCTGATGACAACACTCAGCTGCTCGGCGTCTTGAACCCCAACCCAAAAGACATTTCGACTTTCATTCCAGCCCGTGCTGCATTTGAACTTTTGTTGTACTTCTCTCCAAAAAGTGGTCGTTGCAACATACTCTTTTAACTCTTTGCATCGATTATGTTCTCTTGTTGGGTGTTGATGGAGATGACTCGAGTGACACTCACAGAACCGTGAAGGTTAAAATCTGGATGGGCAAGTTTACGCATACAACAAAGCCTCACCCAACTCTGAGAAGAAAGGTCCTTACCAATATGCCACACTGACAAGTAGTTCTCTTCCCATTTGCGGGGACGATGTCTTCGTCATTAGCGTCAACCTCTAAAACTACGAAGTTTTTCCTCCTAATGATTAGATCACCCTCGGGGACATTGTGTGGTAACCCAAAATAGAGAATCAAAATTTCAAGAATTACGACCGCCAATTGGAGAAGGTTGTGGATGACAGATACGAACGTGTTCGGGTCAGTTACTTCGTCATCAGGTATGCTCTCGGTGCCACCAAATCGATTTTGCTCGTAAAAGGAGATGGAGAGTCTTCGGCGGATGTGTACAGCATAATTGTTTAACAAAGGTCATCATTCTTCTGTTGAAGTTCGTCGAAATTAAAACATTCTCTTGGACTGCTCACTTGTGGTTGTGCCTTTGACCGGTATGACTGTTACTGCTGTTTTGTGGGATTACGACGTCATCCCACATGATGACCGAATTGCCAACGAATATGCCAATTTTGATGTCGCCGTCAGAACTCAGACGAAGAACATATTCGGTAAATATTGTGAAGTTCGAGTCTATGTCACCCTCCTCTAACATAATGCTCCTTTCCATACTCTGATCCGTAATAATTATCTCATGTAATCTATATGCTTTTGAATAAGTATGTTATCATTATCATTACTAAACAGTACATACATGGGCCAATCATCTAGTATTGTCGTTACTATACTATTTAAGCATATAAAACTACCTGAAATATAATACTCCATAGCTAGCTAGTTGTAGCATGCTAGTTGGTATGTATGTTGTTAACTTATATACTTCTGGAATATTATTATGTTGCAAGCACTGTTCTAAAAATCGACCTAGTCGAACCGATTAATCGACCTAGTCGGCCTAGTCGATCCTAACTGTAGAGGCCTAGTCGGCCGTCTAGGCACCCCTCAACCGTCTGACTAGCGCCTATCGAATTTTAGAACAATGGTCGCGAGCACTTCTATAATGTTATTTTTCTTTATCTTCTTAATGATACCACTTTTATTTAAACATTAACGTTGCAATTGATTAATAATGCACTCATCTAATTATATCATTCTCCGTAAAAATTTGCGATTATCAATCATAATGAATTCTACCGATCACATCTTCATAACTGTATTCATCCAATAACTCAATCAAAACCATGCCTTACTGGAGAATTCTCCGAATGCCTATCAATACTCTCCCCTGAAAATCCACCTTATCCCAAGGTGGAAATTTGGAAACTGCTACTGAATCATGTGAATTCTAACTAAATACGGTTAGTTAGTTCGCTGATCGCTGATATGTCCCTGCGAGGATGAAAGAATGAAACAAATGAATAGAGGAAATAGGGGAGAGGTACGTAGGCTGGTTTTCAGTTAGACTTGGGCTCGGAGATTGAGACCATCTAATTGTATCGTTATTGTGTAGATCCACCATGAATGAAAATGAAGCTTTCTGATATATTCTTGATCATCTTTTTACAATTTCTTTCTACTATTCTAAGTTGTTGTGAGAATACTTATCAGTTCCTCGAATGACAGCATATGTATTCGGCTTTGTCAGAGAAGGAATAATTATTTTGTTTTGGTCAAGGTTTGGACCAAAGCTTCCAAAACTTTCGGAATAGCTTTGAGAGGAAGTCTACCGTTAATGAACTTACCAACCAAGGCGTATTGAAGATTTGAAGCCAGTTTGTCTGATCTGGACGCTACTGTGGTTCAGCGGATGAAATTCTGGGGTTATCGGTTTTGGGGGGCTCCGCCATTGAGAATCTAAGAGTTTAGACTTAGGGTATCGCCAGAGCATCTCTCTAAGGAGCCGTTCTGTGTTTTTCGTACTTTGTCTAGTTCGGTAGTTTGACTGGTTTTCTTAAAACGCCCCAATGAGTAAACATAGCTGCAACCTTAAGAATTTCTACGAAAAAACTAAGAAAAAGAAGGCAACAAAATAACCATCACTTGCACTTTTATGTCAAGCAATTTTGCATTCACCCCCGAAAAATCTCTCCCTTCTCAAATAACCTGAGACTCCTTAACCAAACTGCAGGATAATATGGACTTTGTTAGCTTCATAGTATCCCTAACTGATGGTAAACTTTCAATTTTGATATCAGTTCCATCACTAGCCTAACAGTCTATTTTGTTCGTAACAATCAGTATCAGCAGAAGATGATGATCATGACTGAACTATGCTTTGGAAAACACACTTAACAGGATCAAATGCATCTGTTCTTACATTTGTGTTCACTGATGTCAGAATTCACAAGTGTTAAAGCGCTGCTTAGAGAAGAACTCTAATATCTGATGGCTGTATAAATGGTAAATACACATAGAAAAAACAAAAGAGAAACTGGGGGAAACACTAATGGTAGGATAACTTTTGGTGCTACATAATTGCTAAATGAAAGATGAACTGATGAACATCAAGTTTCAGATATTTTAACTAATGCTTATAGGGAATTGATCAAGTCATTAAGGTACTAAAAGTGGAAAGATCTTAATGAAAATCAAAGAACAATTCTTTGTTTACATCACAATTAAAAAAAAAATCACTTTTGATTTATTAAATATCGCTCTAAGGACACTAATTAGCATTTACCCTAAACATTGATGTATCAGATGTTTCATATTAGATCCTCCGTCCAAAAAAATCCACTTCCAAAAGCATCTTTTGTCCCAAAAGAGAGTCTACTTTAGTTAAATAAATCTGTTTTTCATGTGACTTGTCAATAAAATACCAAAAGAAGTTGCAAACAAATTATATCTACTACATTTAGCTAAACAAATACATCAACTATGATAATATAATCATGTTTTTGATTGTAAAGCCTTACAAAAAAAGTTTCTTCATTAGTCAAATGAGAGTTCTTTTTTGGCTAAGGAGGCTGCATTGTACTACCTCCGTCCCTAAATTTACTTCCATAATAAAGTGCCACGCAGATTAAGAAAGTGGGAATTGTGTGGTGGAGAGTTGTGCAGAGGAGAGAGAAATGTTGTGAACCACAAATTCTTTGCCAAAAAGGGAAAGTGAAGTTCTTTTTGGGACAGACGAAAAGGGAAAGTTGGAAGTATTTTCAGGGACAGAAGGAGTATATTTTTATTTAAACCCTTTTCCTTCTTCATCTCAATTAAAATAAACACACTGGCTAGTCACATTAAACAAACAGCAGCTGCTAAAATAATTGCCGTCACTATGTAATCAGAACTGAGTGACAAGTTTTACCTCAAACAAATGGTCCAAGAAAAAATGTGATAAAGAACCAGCAGCCACCAACAAAAAACACTGCATCTTTGTAAGAGGAACCTGCAACAGAAATACAGTAAATCCAAATTGGCATGTATAAAGATGACTTTTTTCTTAAGCTACATACAGAAATGTTTAAGAACTTTAAGGCAGACCCTGGAAATGGAATCAAGAAACCCTTTGCGGAGGAGGAACTTGGAGGCCAAGCTGTAGAGCAGAGAAAGAGGGAAGCCCAGAATGAGGAAATAGTAGAAAGGGTCGTGGATCCATGGCTCAATTGGTGATCCTAAATCCACGCCCAACCCGAGAGTAGACGATAACCACTCGCAGAAGGAACCAATGTCCGGCCCGAAGAAAGCATTGATGGAGTAGGTAAGGCAGTGGTGAGGGCTGAAGTGGCCGCTAGATGTGCTCATCAAGGCCAGCCCAGATCCGAGTGCGTATATCATGTGCGGACCCGGACCGGGCATTCATGTTTTCCCGGCGAGGTCTTTTTTTACTTTTGTTGAACTACGGCGGAGTACGGTTCATTTAGCACCTCGGCCGGATTATTGGCCGGCTGTCGGTATGTACACCGTGCAGAGACGGAGGGATTCTGCCTGTTGAAGCTCAATCAATTGACTTCATCCATTCTACTCATTTTCAATAGAAAATCACTAGACTACTTAATAATTTGTTGTTGGGATTCTTGTGTAAAATTACTAAATGAGCTGATGAGCATAGTATATTGATGATTTGATGATCCAGGGGTGGTTGGAACTATTATAAAGGAGAAGCAGTATCAGAATCAGTTTTTCAGAAGCTGGTCTCCCTCAGCTTCTAAAAAAATTGATTTTAGGAGTAAATTAGGGCACCAGAATCACTTGAGGAAACAGAAGCAGTTTTAAGAATCAAATCCAAACACACCCATTAAGAAATACCGAGCCTCTTCTTAAATTATCGAGTTTTTATCATTTTCTGCTTCTTTCATTGTTGTTTCTTTCACAAGTACTCACTTTCACTTTTTTCAATTTTAATTCTCGACTATTGTGTTCGAGACGGTTTTAGTTTTCAACTTCAAAGTTTTCACATTTTGTCTCTAGGGTATTATCAAATTGACACTTTTAGTCTTTCTACTATGATTTAGACACAATAAATGGAAGACTAAAATGTCATTATTATAATAGTTGAAGGACCAAAATTGTACTTCTATGAAAATCGGAGGACTAAATATTGAATTTTCAAAGACGAGTACCAAAAGTGTCTCTAATACAATAGTTAAGGACTAAAAGTGAAAACAATCAAAGTCGAGTACCAAAAGTGTCAATGACATAATAGTCGGAGGACTAAAAGTGGCAAAACTCTAAATTATCTTCCCAAATACTGACTATTATGTAATGGAGAGTTGTGCAAATAAAAGAGAAATGTAAAATAAAAGATTAAATGGGACAGATAAAAAAATTGAAAGATAATTCAGGGATGAACAGAGTAATATTTATAGCACTCGATAGGTGATGCAATAAAAATTGAATATTTTTTAAATAAGACTATTATCTTTTTTTAGTAAAGATGAGACCTTTTTTAGGCTATACTTTTTCACATAGCATGCACTACGATAGCAGAAAGCTAGTCGTAGCGTTCTATATATGGAGTAACTTTTTGGTGTTTTCATTTTTGTTTGCCACTCCCAGTATTAGTAGTCTTCAATTCTTGTGAGGGAGGCTCCAAGACAGTCAATGAGATCCTGGTAATCGTCTACATCATGTACATGTGAAAGAGATCGAGTGAGATATTTCCACCCGCGGCAGTCCATTATCACTTTTCTTAATTTGAGACTTTTTGCTGAATATTGCTTAGAGATCCTTGGAGTACGTTTTTGCTGCATGAATATTGCTGAGAGCTTCTCGTTGCAACATTTAGAGGCCATTTGGCAACATTGTTTTTCGGCTTATCAGGCTTAACAATCAATTCTTTTTATCTTACACGTAACTTTTGCTTTCGTGTGCTGAATTATGTAATAAGCAAAAAAGGTAAGGTTGGAGTTACTTTTCTGGCTGTATTGGCTGAAGTTACTGTAGATGTTCATTTTAACTATTTTTACATATAATTTTTTCTTTATTTTGTTAATTATATTTGAAAAATATTTTTTTCTTAAATCAGCAGAATCAACCAATGCAGCCACTTCAGGCAGAACTTCATAAATTTTAGCAGAATCAACCAAAGCAACCGATTTTCGTTCTACCAAACGGGCTCTTAACCGTTCTGGACAAGACAAAACCTACCTCTTAAACAGTCATGCATATATATGGGTACTTCTACGGTACCTCCTAAAATTAATATGGTATGGTACCTCTACTAACGTGGACCAATAAGAATGATACATATGAAATCTACATGTTGATATAACCGTATTATTTGCACTTTAGTCCCTATGTTAAATGTGTGTTTTGACGGTTCAAGTAAACAGACAAGTGGCATAACTGCACAAGGAAACGAAAGTTTCTGGCAAATGCTCTCCACGTGAACGCATCAGGAAAGAAAGACCGCAACAATGTTAGTTGCATTCTCACCGGAGTACAAGAATTTGCGTGATTGGTTATTTGTTTTCAGATGACCAGAAAAGCTAAATTTGGTGCTTGAGGAGAAATATCATCGTCGATTCGCCGGCAGAAAGTGGTCAGATTAGTCTCGAGGATTAAAATATGGATTGTGGTTCAGGATTGCGTTTAGGCTAAAGATAAAATTATGGGAAATTATCACCAACCTCCCTCGAGGTTTCATACATTATCACAAAGACTCCTGCAATATTGAAAATACGAAGTATACTCTTACCCTCCACCCTATCCTTTAATGAGAGTTTCATAACTCCTAATCATGTTTAGCAAAATTGTGAATTTAATTAAGTGTGTAAATTTACTCGCTTGCAGATTTGATCAGGTAACACATAAATTTATCTATATTACGAATTTTTCCACTAGAAATTGTAACGAAAAAATTGACGTCTTTTCTTTTTTTTCGTAATGTGTGCTTTCCGATGAAATAGTCATTAATATAGACATAATTTTGTAGTTATAGAACTACATCTATATGAGAGTAAATCTATAGGACTAATAAAGGACACAATACAAAAATACGAGCATAAAATACAAATTTCTATTACTTTTAAAAGTTCAAAAATATCCATTAGATTGTAGAAATTAATCTTGGTGGTCATCTACATAGATGACCATTTTATACGAAGTACGTAGTATGTCTTTTCATATAATTTTTATTTATTTTATTAATAAAATATATTTTAATTTTTTTCTCATAAATCAACAAAATCAGTCAATTTAGACACTTCAGTCAGAACTTTATAAATTTTAGCAGAATTCAAATTTACAATGTCCATGAATTACATCTCATGTAAGGCACGGGTAGTGAAATACTAATTTTTCATTGTGTGATCAAGCGTCTGTATGACTTTGTCACCATTCTACACTAATTTTTCATTCAAATTCTTTTGTGTAGCTTCCTTCCTAAGTACGAGTATAAATTATATAATCCACATGGTGTAACATTAAAATTATTGAAACGAACACCATAGATCTATTAAGAAAGAGAGCTACTAATCAAATAAGCAGTTGAGCATACAGTACAAACTAAAAATTGGATGCATGATTTAATTTGTCTAATGAGCAAAATTGTTTTTAGAAAGATTTATAAACAAATCGTGCATTTCATTCGAGAATACCAACTTACAGGGGTATGTATCTATTGTCGGTAAACATGCAGCGGGATGAGATATTTATAAATATCGGCAAGGATGAGGAGGAAGACAAGCAAGGTCAATCATTGTCCTGTGGAGACAGGCAAGATTGATCGCGCCATATAAGCAGTCCGACGGGGATGAGAAGAAATTCTAGCTAGCAAGGTTGATCTAAGTCCGGAAAAGAAGGGGAGGAAGATCGAAGATAAAGGTGTGAAAGAAATTGAGTATACTCGTCAACTAGCTTATTTATGATCGACACTCCACTTAATGGATGAGGCTTTGTAGATGGATTAGGGGCGGAGCCAGAATTTAGTTAAAGCGGGGCCAAAATGGACAAAAATAATAGTGAAAAAAATTCTTAAAAAAACTAAAACAATAATAAAATTCATAAACATGACCATTATTGTTTAATTCTTAACATAGAACACATTCGATTTAGGCAAATTTTGATCAACTTATTCTTTTAGTAGGATTAAATAAGTTCTTTGTAAGTAAGAAAACATATTTAGTCCCATTTCGAAAGATAATTATACAAATTGTCCTATGTTGGTAACAATAAAGGAAAAAAGAATTAGTTCAAAAGTAAGTATAAAAGTTGTCCTATGTAGTTAACACATAATCAATTTTTTTCTTTCGAATAACACCTAATCAATTATTCATTGCATTCTTGTTAATATATACGTAGTATGATAAATTAATACTTCCTACGTATTTTGTCTTGCGTATTACTTCACGCTTGATTAGACTTCCTATTTTTTCCTCCTCCGTTTGAGCCTCGCTGAATCGCCGGGAAAATGGCAAGGCCGGCCCGGCGGCCCCTTCTACCCCCTTCTATACCTATCTCGTACAGCTGAAGCAGGGGCACCGGTCCCCCTGGCCCCCTTGTAGATCCGCCCCTGGATGGATAGGCTGTATTTGTTTAGGGGCAAAACATATACGCCTCATAAGGCATTTCAAACCTGACGCAGCCCAGAACTCGACGAAATCTCCATCGAAGTCATTTGAAGAGCCCAAGGGGGGTACAAGAAGGGAAAATAAAATCAAAATTACCTTGAGAACGGCGGGAGCGAGTTGGGAGCCTTATCGGCGAGCTGATTGCAGAGCGGCGGAGATTCTAGAGCGAGAAAGCAGAAATCGGGAACACTAAGCCTCTGGGAAATCCTGGTATTTATAAGGGAAGCACCGTTTCGTAAAACCAATAGGGAAGTGACGCGTGGCGAGGAGCGTACCCAGGAGTACGCGTCACGCGTGGAGTAATGAATATAATGATGACCTTTCCTCGGGAAATGAACCGTCTCTTCGGCAACCATCACCTCGATTCCTGGACCATCGACAATTAAGAAACTCCGCGCCAGGAACGTCTCACCCCTGAGGAGTAGATATATTTCTTTATGTCTCGCGCATGCTCGGAACATCAGAAGTGGGGGACTTGTGTTGGGTTAATAGCCCAAATAAGGGGTCAACCCATTCACCCCCTCATTCAGACGAGCGTCCATCCCAACAAAGTAGCCCACCCCGACGAACGTCCAAGCGGGATAATGATGGATCAAACCCGCAGGTAAACACAGTGGCAACGAACGTCGCCACCTAAGGCCGCTGCCACTTGATGCCAACCCAATCTGTGTGACAAATCCTCTAAGGGCCAGAAGACGAACGGCCCACGACCCTTTGCAGTATCATCAGGAGCAGGCTCCCGGCCCAGCTGGACGTCCGTCTCCACTAGTTAGGCGGGAAACCCAGATTCTGGCGGGAGGCGCATTTAATGCTGAAGATTTGGTGGTTGGGACACCAGCCACTTACAGCCTTACACGTCACCATAGCCAACCACCCATTGGTGGTATAAATAGCAGCATTTATTTCATTGTAAAGGGTTGACAACTTACTATACTTAGCACTCTAGCTTATTTCCTTCTTACTCGCAGCTCATCTACTGCAGTGTAAGATGAACGGCCTTCGGCTTTAACAAAAGTATTGTATCGGGGCGTTATTTATCATTAATAATATCTGGTCCTTTACTGCTTCTTACTCTCTTAATCCATCTTATTTGCCTGTTGGGTCAGTTAATCACTCACACTTAAATCATCCACTCGAAATCCTTGGGCTTACGTGTTGGACCCAAGGGTTGAAGAAATAAACCTCAACAGCATTGATATGACATTTTACATATGAGAATAAAATCAATACCAAACGAGCTTATGTGACTTACACAATGTGCATTGATATGAAAACTGTAAAGTTTGTTAGTTGAAAATCACGACATTCATGGTTTCTATTAAATGAGCATTAATGAACTTTTACTGAGCATCAGACCAATTCGGTTGAGTATTAGGAGTGTGATATTGAGCATCGAGATCTCTGCTTCATATCTTATATTCACTTTCTTTTTCTTATTTTTTCTTTTATAAAAATCATTAAATTATATCTATAATCAACTCCTATGAAACTTCAATATGTGAATATAATATAATATAGTACATTTGAAATATGCATTGATGTGACATTTTAAAAATGAGCATATATGAGTATAAATTGAGCATATGTAACTTAGAAAATGAGCATCTATATGAAAATCATAAGTTTTTTTAATTGAGCATCAAAACATTTTCATTGAGCATCAAATCTCTTCTATTGAGTATTAGAAACATGCAATCGAGTATCAAAGCATGTGCTCAATCTAGTGTGCATTGATATAATTAACATTTTAAAATGAGCATAAATCCGTACCAAATGAACACAAATCAAGTACCAAATGAGCATACAAAATGTACCAAATGAGCAATAAAATGAAAATTAAAAAATTTCTTAGTTGAGTATCAAGACATTTTCATTGAACATCAAACCTCTTCTATTGAGTATTAAAAGCATTGAATTTAGTATCACAATCTATGCCCCCATGTGAATCTAATATGAAACATTTGAAATGTGCATTAATATGACTTTATAAAATGAGCATAAAACCAGTTTCAGATGAACGTGCGTAACTTACAAAATGAGCATAAAAATTTCAAAAACTCATTTGAATTCTCTAATGTGTTTAAATGTTCATTTTTGCACATGCATCACAATAACAAACATAATAATGACAAATATAATAATTTTATATTAAAAATAATTTATAGTCTTTCGCTTTAGACTTACAAATATAATCGGGTTCTTTTTTTAATAATGTCCATCTATGCATATTTATTTTACATTATAGTCATTTTACTATAACACGAAACTCATGTTAGTAATTAGCACATATGAAGTAATATTTAATAAACTAATAAATATTCTTCTTAAATTATAAAAATAAAAATAAAAAATAATACTTTAAATATTCATCAGAAATTGAAAATTTGAAATCAATGAATAAGGTGGTTAAAAAAGGAAAAAGAACTTGAAAAAAAAAGGAAAAAGAAACAAAAAGAATCTATGTAAAAGGGAAAAGAAAAGAGACATAGTGCTCCCTCCACTCACGCAGGCCACTTAGGGTTGGTTTGCAACTACTTTTAAAAAAACACTTCTCAGCTTTTGGCTTTAAAAAAGCACTTATTTTCCCAAACACTACAACTTTTATTTTTCTCGGCTTCCGCGTCAAAAGTGCTTTTACTTTTTCTATTACACAAAAAACACTTATTTTACCAAACACTACCCACTTTTACTTTTCAAAATCACTTTTTTCTCAAACACTATCAACTTTTATTTAATCACTTCTCCCCATTTCATTAAAAAAATTCCTTTTTTAAAAGTAGAAACTGTTGCAAACAGACCCTTAGGAGTTACGATGAATTAAGTTGGCCGGCTAGGCTAAAGAGGCATAGTCCACTTACGCAGGCAAGCAGGGAAGAACACACTGTCGGAAGAATCAGCAAAAAATTACAAATATAACAGGTGTATACGGACACCCGGGTGTACGGTATAAATTGCGTGAGTATGTATAGTAAGTAATTCAATTGGTTATTATAATGTCCATGACTTCTACATTTCTTGTAAAAATTAATATCGGCAAAAACGTAATTGCTTTGGGACAAATCATAGTTATCGGGCACTATGATTATATTTTGCAGTTTTGCACAATAATTACAAACATGTTACTAACATTTGTAACATGTTCACAAACATATAAGCTTTCCGTAACAATTACAATTGGTTACACACGTACAAGTGATAGACACTTCAACTTCACCATGTTCGGGACCATACATGCTCTTGGTTTGAGTTCCATACAGACAATCAACACTTACACTTCCCTTGGCAATTTCCCCGTCCTTATTATCACACAGAGAAACACTAATTGTTATACCATTGTCCATTGGTACCACCACAATGGAACGAGTCAACACAATAGGGTTCTTAGGGACTTAGGGTAGACTTCAACACACTCGTCTGAAGGTTTATCAAGCAATGTGAGTGATGTAGATGAGCCTCCTATAAGTTGGGATGCCTTGATTGTACCATAAACATGTGCCGGGTTTTCTCCACCATCACGGCTGTGATTGAGCAGAACCACCTTGACAGTTGCACAGAGAGCATAGGTCATGACGGAGAAACCCACCGCGGCACTGCCATGTTCGCCTGTCACAACCCTTTCCAAACGTTTGTTATAATTGGCGAAAGTTATGTCGATTGTCTTCTACTCTTGTTTCCCAAACAACATTGCCTTGCGCAAGCTCGATGTCAGGATCCACCCCCCGTAGATCGACACTAATAACGGACCAGTCGTAACCACTAACACCATAATAACAGTCAGGGCCAATTAGTGTCAAATCATCTCCTGGACCTTTCTTCTCGGAGTCGGCTAAACTCCGGTCGTACACCTTGTGCACGCCCATCCAGTCCTGGACATTCACTGTTCCGTACACGCCACCAACGATATGTTTATCACCATCAACTTTCAACACACGTATGTACTCGATGCTCAGCATCGCACGATAATGTAAAATACCGTTTTCATCGGTCCGACTCATAATGTTGTCTGCATAAGAGTTGAGAGTCATTGGACATACTGATGGTATTTTGATATTCACCTCAGACAACACTGTGTATTAGAAAGTCATTGTTTACCAAAACAAAATAAACAGAGAGAAGTATATTAACCCCTCCAGATGCAGGTCCTTCAACCTCATCACTTGCCGGTTCAACTCAATTCAAACTGAGTCTATTAAAATTCCGGTCAAATAATAGCATCAGACCGGATAGATTACAAGTTCAACCGGCCGATCAGAAGCTGGAGGTCTCCCATCACAACTTCTTTCAATAATCTTCAATTGACATGATTTTTATGAGCATCCACATTTAAAAATCCAACCTTGGACGAAAACTGAATAAAAAAGAAAATCAAAACTAGAAAACAAATTTAACTCACAAGGAGTAAATGGATATTGCAAATTTGCAAAAGAAATTCAAGCTATACATTAAATACCACAAATTTTGTGATCAATATACTCGCGATTCGAAAATAAACCGTTCAGAAGTAATAGGCATGACAATGGGGCGGGGCGGGTCCGCCCCGCCCCGTTACCTGCACGGGTCCAAACTTGTTGACCCATGACCCGCCCCATGCGGGCGGGGCGGGTCCGCCCTGCCCCACCGCAACCTAATTAGCTAGTATGTATTTTTATTTGTGGGAAATTGTTACCAATTGAATCTACATAATGTTTATCTCTAAATAATAATTAAAAATCTATATATTAAATCAAATTCATGATACGCTAAAAATTTCAAAAATTAAGGAAAAATTACTCAAACTTGAATAGTTAATCTAATTAGTTATAATAATTGAATATATGTATTAAAATTCTATATATAAAGAAGACATTAATAATCCGTCGTGCATCTCATTCTAATATATATTCATATATTATAAGATCAAAGAATTTATGATTTATTGTATACACACATATGTATGTTGAAGTATATTTGTAATATAATTTAAGAAAAAGTATGTATACTTATATATTGAGCGGGTCGAGGCGGGGCGGGTCGGGGCAGCACGGGTCAATTCTAATACCTGGACCCGCCCCATTGTATAGGCAGGGCGGGGCGGACCCGCCCCATTTGCAAGACGGGGCGGGGCAGACCCGCCCCAAATGTCGGGTCAGGGCGGGTCACTGCGGGTCGGGTTTTTTTGACATCCTAGGAAGTAATCGTATCTCAGCTGAAATCAAGAGATGTTTTTGTTCATATGAAATCGTACCAGTGGTTGTGGCGAGAAATGGAGTCTGAGCAGCTGCTTTGAAGCCGTGGAGACTGACGATATGGGTTATCCGATTGACGGACCACCTTTATAGTGCAAAACTGGAAAATAGTACCTCCGGACCGCGTCACCAGGTTAGTGCCTCTTTTGGTTTCTCCTCCGACCTCCATATTGGTTTTTTTTAATTAAATTAAATTCCTAATTTGAATTCACTAATGGGTTTTAAGAAAATTTATACTCCATTTTTTTATCGATGAAAATTAATCTATATATATATTAAAACAGAAAAGTGTGGGGAGTTTGGGAGGGAATTTGTATTCAAAATTCAAAAAACGTGCAAGAATATTATGTGCTGCTAAGGATAGCATTAAATGGAGAGAAAGGTATTAAACGTGTGGGATATTTGAGGTGTCTTTTGGTATTCACGAAAATGTATAATTAGTATTAGTAGGAGCCGGTTGTGTTTTAATAAAGAAGTGGAACCGTTGTTTGATCATATCAATTAAACAATTATTAAGCTCACGATCTTTAATGGTCTGTCGATATAAGAGTGTTGTTTGTATATATAAGGTCCAAAACACAAATTCATCGCAAATGATTGGCCACCCAAAAAAGAAATTCCTTCAAGGGGTGCATCTACATCCGCTGGATAAGAATAAATAGCAACACCTACAAAATGCCGATATAAATAAAGGTTGTAATGCTATTTTCTTTTAAGGTGTGAGAACGCTAACAAGTAAGTTACCTTGAGTTTCTTCTAGATGTTTGAAATACATGCAACTAGCACCGTTTTATCATTTTGTTCAAGAGATTTTGCATAATCATTTGTTGCCTACATTTCTCTACCAGAAAGAATTAGATACGGCACTATCAAATGGTGTGCGCGTAAGAATGTCACTATCAGCTCCAAAATATTTTAAATTTCTAAGGCATGATTTTGGATAATTAGGGCTGCAAATCAACAGATCAACAATATATTGACTGCAATGTAATTCTGGAGTAATTCATTTAGTTTATCATCTAGGACCTGAAAAAATATGACCTAATTTGCATTTACTAAATACTATATATATTTGAAATGATTTTGAATAATCCATTTCAATTAATGGTAGACCAATTCTCACATTCTAAAATTAGTTACGATAAATTCTTTGAATGAGATTTTTAAAGGAAAACTGTATTGAAGTGTTAGACTAGGATGCACGGAAACGTCAAACTCCCTCAAGTTTCCGTCCCAGAAACGTTTCGGAAACGCGAAACGCCAGGAAACGGCAGGGAAACGCGGAGAAACGTTTCTGATGACTTGGGCTTTTGGGCCGGCTTGGGGAATCGTATCGGAAACGGGAATTCAATTGGGCCACGGCGTTTCTGGTTATTTTTCTCAAAAACAAGGTCGGTCAATTTGGAGCTGGGCAATTCGCGTTTTTTTTAAATTAAAACTAACCTGCGACGCTCGCTTGTAGTCTGCGACTCTAGCATCACTCGACGACAATTAAGGGCTTGAATACTGAAGCAACGCTGGTGACGACGGGAAACCTAATGCTGAACTGCTGAAGTTGGTGACCGGTGAAAGCCATCTGCTGGCCTGCTGCTGCCTGCTGCTCTACTTCGCTGGACGCGTGGGTTAAAGTGGGTCTGGGTAGTGCCGTATTAGCCTATTTGGGGAAGTTTCAGAATTTTAGATTCTTTAATTTGTGGTAAGTGCTTCCTATTGTCATTAAATATGGAACATACTGATGTTACTGGTAATTTGAGTGTGTTACACAAATTTGCACTTGTTAATTTATCATTGGAGAGTGTTTATCACTGAATGAAACATTTACTTTTTCATTTTATTTATTATGCATGTATGATGCATTATAATAAAGAGAATGTTTTGTTTACTTATTTCATAATTGTTGGACGTAAACATTACTTATACTAGTAAAATTTTAATTTTTAGTTTGACGTTTCCTTGCCGTACCCGTATCTTGATATTTTGAGTTTAGAGTTTCCCCGTCCCCGTTTCCGTCCCCGTTTCCGTTTCCGTTTCCGTCCCGGTGCTACTTAGGTGTTAGACAGTAAATGTAGAAAATTGTCATATGAAGGCATAATGCATCAAAGTAACTTAATCTAACATGTGAGGTTGATATTCATCATAAGACGATAATTCATGATTAAATCTATTAGAAAATTGTCATATGAAGGCATTAGGCATCAAAGTTTGGCTTAAACAAAACTTTCATTTCATGTATTTTTTTATTTTCAACTCTAAATTGTAAGTTGGTTTAGAGAAAGCACTTTAGAAAATAAAAATACATATTGATTTTACATGTTTGATAAAAAAAAAGGGTACCATAATTGAATAGTTCTGTAGGAAACTGAAGTTTTAAGCAGGAATACTTTGCCTATGAATAGGCAGTGAGCAATTTGAAACCGAAAAGGTATATAAGTCTGTGAATGAAACTGAAGTAGCATATTTAGAAAATGTGATCATTGCTTGACATTAAGTCTGTCAAAAATGAAATAACAAATGAAGAAATAATGTAATTTATACCCTTTATTACTCTATCAAGTTTTACTTTAATGTATTGAAATATTCAAGGCTAAAGAGTCAAATAGGTACATGAACTAACTAAAAGTATTCAATTAGCCCCATATATAGGAGGTTCTGCCTGACCGTCGCCAATTGGGGCGGTTCCTGGTAGAATTTTTTGATGAATTTTTTTGAGCATCTTCTTCATTAAGTCTAGTTTACCCATACCAAATTTCGGCTAAAAATTCAACCGGGAATGCAGTCAAATGATTTTTTAAAGATAACTGCGCAGTTAAACAACGCAGTGCATTTCGGAAAATCAATTGACTGCCTTCCCGATTTAATTTTTAGCTGAAATTTAATATGGGTAAACTAGACTTAATGAAGAAGATGCTCAAAAAAGTTCATTAAAAAATTCAACTGGGAACCGCCCCAATTGGCGACGGCCGGGCAGAACCTCCTATATAAGGGGCTAATTGAACACTTTAAGTTAGTTCATATACCTATTTGACCCTTTAGCCAATATTCAATACAACTTGCTATCATTGATTTTACCCTTGCATTGAAAATTAAACTTTTAATGTTTCAGAAATCAACAAGGCTTAACTGGGAGTTATAGAAGCATAGGAATTGAACAACTCGAATGAAAAGAAACCCATATCTTGCAAAAAATGACCTTTCTTTGAGAAAGCAAATAATCTTTTAAATTTCAAGATTTCCATGTAAAATTCGTTTTTAAATGTTAAAATACATACAGCTCCAAGATCTAATTTGCTAAGTAAAAGAAGGCCTCATTTTTAAATATAAAATCACAGGATGTTGTTTTATTATTTGATTGAAAAGTAGCTTTATGAGAGTAAACGGATTCAAGTAAATTCAATTCTCAGAGTTACCTTCTGTTTTAACAAACAACAATATCACTAATTTATCTAAATATTTATTAACAACTATTAAGAATGAATTAACTCAATTAATGAACAGTTCAATATCAGATGACTGGAGGGATACCTGAACTATGGAAGGCCGGAATGTTAAACTTGAGATGGGCCGATTGGCCGGCCGAACCACCCAAGGGAGAGAGACGGGGTGCAGGGAAGCAGGAATCGGGCGTGAGCGAGGCCAGTAGGTTAATACTGAAAAGTTGTGCTATCGCTGGAGGAGTGCCATTGCAGCCGTTTGTGGAAGGGAAGGGAGTTGGCAATTTGGAGGGGCGTTGGACACTTCAACCGTTTGTGGATTTGGATGAGTTAATCCACAAATATCACGAAATACTAGGCACTAGGCAGCTTGCTGATGTTAACTTTGTGCCTTGGGCTAGTTGGGCCTGCTAAAATTTATATTGGGCTGAAAATCGGTGTATTATCACCTGTCATGAAAGCTGATACTAGATCTAAAGAGTTTTATTTTTAGGGCCTGCAAGAAGAGTGCTGTGTGTAAAAACCCAAGATTATTACTCCCTCCGTCCTATGTTGCACAGAAACACGAAAATCATGAAGAAATGGGAAACAGAAAACGTCAATTTTTGCTCAAAAAAGGCTTATTTGGAGTTTCCAAAGAGTTTCCGACAGTTTCCGTGCTACATAGCCTCCGTCCCATTTTATTGGTTCAATTGTCCTTTTTTTGTTATTCCAATATAAGTGTTTCCTTTTCTTTTTGGGAAAGAAATATGTGGTCTATACCATTTCACTTTATTATACTCAAACATCAACTATAATTTTTATTTTTTTAATCACTTCATTAATAATCGTGTCAATTTAAACTAGGGTACATAAAATGGGATAGATGTAGTATATATCTTTGCCATAATAATGGAAGGCTAAAACCAAAAAGAATGTACTGCCTTTATATCAAAAGACTTTGCCATTTTCAAAACTTTGACCAATTATATACTTAGTATTTTTATTGGAAATTATTTACTCCGTATAATATAAAAATTATAAGAAAATGTTCTTTATTAAAGGTATGAAATCTATAACTTCCATAATATTACATTAATCAAAATCATGGTTCAAATTTTTTGAAATGACAAAGTTTTTAGGACGGAGGTAATATGATACTATTGGGAATTTTCGGTCAATATTAATTGGTTGTGCACTTCGTGAATGTAAAGAAAGTGTGTCGGTAAAGGAAGTGTATTCGTGTTGATAGGGAGAGGAGAATAGTTTGGTAAATGAGGATTTCTTTTTTCCTTTTTAGAGTTGAAATGTGTAACAGTCTATCTCAGATTTTAGAGTAAAGCTGGACTAAATTGAGATTGAAATTATTGATTTACTTTCAAAAATTAATATTCTATCATATTTCTATGTGAAAATGGATCTAAAACATTTTTTTGGTTTTCAAAATCTATTTAATAATATGATCGAAAAAATCTACTTCGTATTTAATTATTTAAAATTCATAGGTTAGTTATACTTTATATTAATGGTCCTTTTTCAAAATATGCAAAACAATTAGTTTGACAAAATATGCATTTGAAATGAATAATGCAAGCAATGTAACAAAGATAAGTATAACTCTAGCCGAATAAATATTCGAAGTATAAATTAGTTTCATTAGATTAGATAACATAACAGGCTTTCATGTACGGGAGATCAAACAATACCAAGACGGATTTTAGTTTTGGATCCGACTAAAACAAATCAAACAAGATCGAATTAGATTTGGCTTGATTAGACTTGGATAGGAACAAAGTTTACATTATCAGATCCAAAAATTCAGTCTCATTAAAAAAATCTTTAATCACACTTTAATTAGATAGGAGATTTTTTATTGAATTGTGAATAAAAAATCTTATAATCTCAAATGACGCAAGGTAAATAATTTGATTATGTTAAATAAGTTAATTATTACACTTTTTTATTTTTTAGATATAAAAAATATATGTCAACAATCCACTCCATGAAAAAACAATTTTTCGCGTGCATCGCACGGGTACTACAAAAATGGTTGAATGCATTTATCCTTCCTTTGATGCTATTCATGAAGATCCCAGTTATTTAGTTATTTAGAAAAGAGCACAATATTGGCACCCACTCTCCAAGTTGTTGATTTCATCAATGACTACATGCTTTCCTTAAATGGTTCTGAGATGAAAACCTACCTTAGTTCTGATATCCATACTCCAAAATTTTTGAATGTAATTAAAGCTTCAAGAGTACCAAATCATGAACTGCATCTTAAAGTTGGAACACCAGTACGTGATGCCAATGGAGAGCATTGATCATTCTCAAGGGCTGTGTAATGGGACTAGTATGGTTATTACGAGATTAGGTAAGCATATTTTGGAAGCAAAAATTTTTACAGGGTTGAGTGGAATGATAAGGTTTTGATACCGAGAATGTCTTTGACTCCGTCTGATGTGATATTGCCTTTCCAGTTTGAAAGAAGACAGTTTCTTTTGATTGTCTTATATGCTATGACGATAAATAAGAGTCAAGGACAATCGTTGTCCAATGTTGGATTAGTCTTGAAAAACCCCGTTTTCAGTCATGGTCAGTTATATGTTGCGCTTTCACGGGTCACTAACCATGCGAGTTTGAAAATAGCTATATGTGACGCAGATGGGAAAAGTACAAATGTAACAACGAACGTTGTATTTAAGGAAGTAATCCGAAATTTGTAATAAATTTTGTTTTCATATTGTTATGATTCCAAACTTTTTAAGCAACGTTGTTTTGATTGAAATTGATATTATTACACATGATACTCTACTGTATGAATCGAAAGTTATTAAACTTACATATTATTTTTAAATTTCAAATATTTGATTTTTATTGATATTAATACACATGTAACTCTAATGTATGCATCAAAAGTTATTAAACTTATGTATTATTTTTAAATTCCAAATATTTATTTTTTATATTGCGCGGTATATTTTGCCATGTAATTAGAGATGGCAATTTCGGCCGACCCGTTGGATACCCGCACCGAACCGATTTGGTCAAACTGGGGAAACCCGGTGTGACTGGGGAATGGGTACGGGGCGGGGAATACCCGAATTTTTTAAATGGTTAATGATGCGGTTATGGTTCTATACTAATCAACCCCGTTATCCGCCCCGAAACCGCCCCGTTCACTAGTGGTGCGGGTACCCGCACCGTTACCCGATCCATAATATTATTAATAAATTATAACTTTTTATATATAAGAATAATAACTATATATGCTAAATTGTGTATAATAAATAGTATATATCATATAAATAATGCTAAAAAGTATACTACTTTTTTAGGCCTAAAACTAAATATAGGCCTAAACCTGTTTTTGAAATTTGGATTCTGGGATGATTACTACTTTTTTATTATGTTACAAGAGATATTGGTTGCATGTCATACTAATGAATTTAGGTCAGTCTGCTTGATTGCTTAAATGTTTACTTTTGTATGTTTTAGGGTGCTTTGAATATATAAATAACAAGTAGGTTTAACAATTGGTTATTTGTTTTCCCAAAAAAAGTTGGTTATTTGGCATCACTTGGGGAAACGGTTACCCATGGATAAACCGATTCCCCGTTGGAGCGGGTACGGTTCAAATAAAAATTACCCGAACGGGTAATGGGACGGTTTTGGGGCAAACATTTATCCAACGGGGCGGTTCCGGTTTTATGTGTACCCGTCCCCGATCCGCCCCGTTGCCATCACTAATATTTCTATGTGAAAATGGATCTAAAACATTTTTTTGGTTTTCCAAATCTATTTAATAATATGATCAAAAAATCTACTTCGTATTTAATAATTTAAAATTCATAGGTTAGTTATACTTTATATTAATGGTCCTTTTTCAAAATATGCAAAACAATTAGTTTGACAAAATATGCATTTGAAATGAATAATGCAAGCAATGTAACAAAGATAAGTATAACTCTAGCCGAATAAATATACGAAGTATAAATTAGTTTCATTAGATTAGATAACCTAACAGGCTTTCATGTACGGGAGATCAAACAATACCAAGACGGGTTTTAGTTTTGGATCCGACTAAAACAAATCAAACAAGATCGAATTAGATTTGGCTTGATTAGACTTAGATAGGAACAAAGTTTACATTATCAGATCCAAAAATTCAGTCTCATTAAAAAAATCTTTAATCACACTTTAATTAGATAGGAGATTTTTTTATTGAATTGTGAATAAAAAAATCTTATAATCTCAAATGACGCAAGGTAAATAATTTGATTATGTTAAATAAGTTAATTATTACACTTTTTTATTTTTTAGATATAAATATATCGCTCAATGTCTGCCGAAGCGGTTTTTTTACTCGTCTCCGGAGCTGTCATTAGTTGCCTCCAAGCCGCTCCAAGCCGCGGCTTCATTCTCGCCAAACCGCTGGTACAATTCTAATGAACCAAACCTTCTCTTCGTTTTTTGTGAAGTTGCGATTGGTTGCTTATGTTTAATATTTTTCAAAAAATTTGTTGGATGGCATATTTGAAAAGTTTATCTTGCTGTAGTGACGCTGTTATTTTAGGAAATCTGTGGCACGGGGTTTTTAGGTTGCTTTTGATCTACAGATATGCATTTCTCCATTAGAATTGACTTTGCTTTCAAGTTATGATTGTTTTGGATCTAGACAATTTCCAATTTGCCATTTTGAAAATCAATTACATGTATACATCAATACAAATAGGGTGTACACCAAAATTTCGTTGACGTAAGAATTTCAGATGAACACTGTCGGTCAACTATCTAAGGGATTGGTCAGTCATCATCACGGGCTTGGTCTCAGGAAAAATTGTAAAACTTACAAAAGTAATTAAACGAAATTAGAGCCATAGTTATAAAAAAAATTAGTTGAGTCCATTTTATGGTAAATCATCAACAATAGCATCATGATCAAACGTACATATAACATTTCTTCAAAATATTGATTGTTCACTTGGTGGTATATTACTTTTCGGAGTACATTCCGGATTTAAATAATATTTAACACAGTACTCACATGGTTTTCTATTAATCGGTTAATCCATTATAATCTTTCTTCTCGTTTTCTTATCGAGACTCAAGCTGTCAAGCATCTAGTAGACACCCTGAAATTTATTATTTTACATATAATGCAATTGATATCTAATGCACACTAGAAGAAATCAACTAAACCCCAAATTTACACAATAACGTAACAAAAAATAACAATTCAATAAGATAGTAAGTTGTAATCAAATGATTGAATAATTACAAACGTAAGTCACAAGTCACACAACTACTCAACCAATATAATTTTAAAATACTACTACGTATAAAATTTGGTAATACTAACCGTAACTCATTCCGTTAATAAATCAAAAATTAGTAATACATTTTTCAAAAAGATGGGAATTTTCCCCATGGGCCCCACGCACTTTTTTCTCATTTGTGGCTCCTCTTCCACGTTCGCATGCCATCCTCCCGAGTCCCGCCGGGTGAATAGGGGTGACAAATCCCCCACCCCAAGCACCAAGGTGCCCTTTCAAGCGTGAAGTGTCCCTTCAGAAGACTAGAGTTGTAGAGTTCTCACCTATTGTTTAAAAAACCGACCCGACCGGGGGTGACCCGGAACCCGGTGACCCGAACAAAAAACCGGTTCGGTCTTTTCAAAACCCGGAAATGGTTAAGAACCGGAAAAACTCGGCTGACCCGGGAAAACCCGGTCAAGACCCGGACCCAAAAAACCCGAAAAACCCGGTAAAACCCAGTTTTTGGGTGTTTTTACCAAAAAAAGTAATTTCTTTTTTATTTTTGATGCATTTTTTATACCAATAAAATTGCAATTTCAATACCTTAAAAAGAAAAACTGCGTAATATATTTATATATTTATTTAAGAATGAACATCATGCCAAATTATAATATAGATGTACAATAAAAATAAAAATATCATTATATATTTTTATAAGATCAAAATATACATTGAAATATTATGAGAGTGTATTAAATGCTTAATAAGTAGTATTGTTAGTTGATTATTATGAATAATAACTAATTTTTATTATAATTTTATATATAATTATATGTTTACTATTATTATATAGACGTATAATCATTCACCGATTTTCCGGCGTTGACCGGGTTGACCCACCGGGTCCGGGATGACCCATGACCCAGTCATGTGGCCGGGTCACTCTCCGGTCCGGTTTTTACAACATAGGTTCTCACTTCCCACGCTTGGTTATTCTTTCTTCTAAAAAGTAAAAAGTCATTTAATTTCAGGGAAATTCTATTCACATCCCACTTTTTACTAAACACAACCACTAAATTAAATAAAAATAATTAAAAACAAATCAAATATCTAAATTACCCTTAATGATATTTAACGATCGCTTAAGTGATATTTAACGATCGCTTAAGTGATCGACTAATCCTTGTGGCTCGAAGGCTTAGCGCAAAGCTGAAACACAAAAACGCAGACCGAAGACCTGGGGATTTACGCAGGTCCAAATTATGGAGTATATTTTAGTGCTCCAAAACTTTGATCTTTTCAAGACAATTCTTCATCTGCTGCTCCACATCTCCATTAAGATTGTTTCCACCTAGCAACTTATAGTGCTCAAACTTTGACATTTCACACTTCAAATCAGCATTTTTGCAGGCCTTGATACTTCCTACGGAGTATTATATTATCATCACAAAATAAGAGTGCAGGTGATATGAAAAATCCTACATCGTCATGAGAGTGAAATAGAGGAGTTGTTGAGCTTACCATCAGATCCAATAAGTTGAATACCACCTGGCAGTTCCCTATATTCCTAATTAAGGTGAGTGTAGCTCAATTTTTCTTATAATCTTCCCTGGATGCTCTGATGATGATAACTTTTGTTACAAGGTTGACATACTTCACTACACCAAAAGATGAAGCATTGACAAAACTAGACTTAATGAATAAGATGCTCAAAAAATTTTATCAAAAAATTCTACCGGGAGCCACCTCAAATGGCACGTTCGGACAAAATCTTCTATATAAGGACTTATTTGACCCCTTTTTTGCAACTTCGAGGACTAAACTAACCCTTTACCCTATAACCCATGAATCAATTTCCTTTGAAAATTTTAAACTAAAAAGAGTAAACAATTCATGATATTTACAAGTCTTGGATTGATAGTTTTCAATCATAGAGATCCTAAAATGATACGGAGTAGTTTTTCTCTTTCACGTGGTCGTGTACTGATATAGAACCTACCTTTGGGGTCTTGAATTGACAGAACTCCAATAAATGAATAATGTACACCCCTAAGTTACAAAGTACCCTATTCTTTACCATAAGTAAAGCACTAACAAACAGGGAACATCACTCAAATACTATGGTGATAAGTGAAAATCAGAAATATATATCCTGTTCCACTTACCTTGAAATGAGTTGAGCGAAGAGGCTAGACCACACTCTCCAAATTTCACAAGAATGTCATCTTTCACAAGATTTTGAGAGATTGAATTGTGTGATAATAATAGGGTCCTTTCCCTGTTTCCCACAATATCTTTATTTGGATCCAAAAATACTTCCATCACCATGTATTTATTCTTGAACCCCCACCATGCTGAGCTCACAATCTAGCAAGCTACAAATAATAACGAAAAAGGATAAGCATAGTGAAACTGCAGTATGCGGCAAAGACAAGTACCTAGATATAACCAGTAGTCACTTCAATATCATCAAAAGGATGAACGTATGAAATTGTTATTAGTACAGAATGGAAATACAAAAAACTATGGCACTGGGTAATTTATGGGTAGAGATGCTTAGTTCACAGCTAGTTAGAGAAGAAAGAATCAATGCATTAGTGAAATTAGACGAAATAATCAATTAATTAGTGAAATATTGAAAATAGAAATTAAATAAACTTAGACAGATATATCAACTAATTATTGAGATAGAGCTTGTTGCAGTAGAATTTAGGGTCAAGACAAGGGAACCTGGCGACCTGATAAAGAGGATATGAATAATCAACTGGAACCAGCGATACTTATGACAGATGTAGCGGCGTCGGAGGCGGGGCAGAGGCACAACAGAGACATTGACTGCGTTGGAATCACAATAGCCAGCAGCACATCAAGTGGCGAGGGCTTTGTACGATCATCTTGCTCTGGAGTTGGAAGCACAGCAGTGCAATGGTAGCGGCGTCAAAGGTGGTGGCGTGGAGGTAGCTCGGGACTGCTAGCTCGACTTTCAGATTTGGTGTCTTTCATAGATATGGAAACGATCTGGCTTCCTTACTCCTCCTTTAGGAAAGTTAGCCGGCAGACGGAAGGAGAAGATGTTCTACGGAAATAGATGGGCGTTAAATAACGAGGGTAGAAATGGAATTATGAAATTAAACGAAAATGGGTGTGTGAATAGAATTGCCCTTAATTTCACCGTGAAATAAAAAATAAGCCTACCCATAACTAATACTCTAATAGTGAGTCAAATAGCATATATTGGTCCTAATTATTTTTTACTGTTTTTGGGCTTAGGGCCTACGCCCCTATTGCTCCCCAGGGCCGCCCTTGACATAAGGATTAACAACGGGCTGGGCAGGGCTACACCGGCCCAAAACTAACGGGTTTGGGCTGGGTTCAATATACTACGTATAAGAATTAATTATAGGCCGGGCTGGGGTGGACCGGGCTTTTGTATTAAAATTGTAGTTGTAACATGTCTATAAAGTTTGTGGAAATTACCCGAATGAACTCTTTTTGGCTATCCTATTTCATTTATGTCTCCACACATTTTGTTTTTCAATTAGAGAGTTTCACCTTTTCACTTTAAACCTTTTTATTTCAAAAATAGCCTCAAGCCTAAATCCCAACCCAGCTCCTTATTCCTTCGAACTGAAGCGGCAATCGAACTGAAGAATTCCTCCGTCTTCACAACCTCACTGGCAATCGAACTGAAGAATTCCTCCATCTTCACAACCTCACCGACAATCGAACTGAAGCGGCAATCGAACTGAAGAATTCATCCGTCTTCACAACCTCACCGGCAATCGAACTGAAGCGGTTAAAGACAACCTGCACGATTGTTCTCCTGCCGCCTTGCGCCTGCTGCGCTCTCCAGTCTACGGTCTCCGACATCCACAGCTCCGCCCTCCGCCCTGCCTACTCGGTTGCTCCGCTGCTCACTGAATTATTGCTTGTCTGCCTCACAGCTTTCCGATTTGCAGGTATGTGTTTGAATTTTCTTTGTTAGAGCATACATTATTTTATGAATACATAGCACATACATGAGGACCTCCACGCACATGCAGTACTCCAGGCTCCGCCATTGCTATTTTCACGGACTCAGCTATTTCGTTCAGCTAATTCCTTTGTTATTATCACATATTCTATTATGATAATTATCACATGTGTAGCTGGGTGTTAGTGACTAACACACGTAGCTTAGTCTTTGACTCCTTGTTATACTTCATTGATGAGCTATTTAAATCTCACAGAGATGAATGATAAGCTCACTGGAAATTTTCTCAATTTCTAACAGTTTTCAGCAATTTGCTTTCACTTTAATTTTTGTTATACTTCAAATAGTCGAGCTTTATTTCTATTTCCCTGTTCAGATTTGTTTTGCTTTCTGCTTTATTTTTGTTTTTGTTATAATTTACTTTCAGTTTTGGTTGAGACTTTGAGTGTACCTAAAGTATCAACAGAGTAAGATTGCCACAGAACATGACGCACATGAATTTCAGATTGAAGTATTTGTGATTTTTGATTAATTGAAATAATATACTAATGATATCATTCATTGTGAAAAATGACTTTACAGATGCTAAGTATTGCAGGATCTACTGCTCTTCCAAATGAAAATGTATACACTGAGTCCCTTCATTTTGATGATATTTGTATTATCAAAAGATTGTAATAATCTTTCTGTATTGGTGTTTGGTATTTATATAATTGTAACATATAGCCGTACTCTTGGTGTTGTTTGTGCCACTCGTGTGATTTCCATGTTAAGGATCATAGAGTATTTGTCTGTTCTCTAGGAAAATTTTATGTGAATAAATTTCAACTCTTAAAGTGTTTAACTTTTACTTTTTGTGCCATCACACTATTACTTGTTTTATTGCATGGCCTTGAAAGAGTTGTTACAATTACTCTATTTTCATTTTGGATATTACTTGTTTAAATTGTTCTGGGCGTGTGACTATCCAAACCTCATGCTTGAAAGAAAATATAGAGTAGAAAGATGATGAGAAAGCTGCAAAAGGGAATGGGGTTATGGCCATATGCAGTGAGGTTGTCGAGGGTTTGGGAGGAGAAAAGGAAATGAGAATATGACCGTCTTCACAACTATCCTTCGTGGGCTAAGTATGTCTTTAATTTCACACGTTTTTGTTTTTGCATGTGTTATTTATTATTTATTTTGCATTGTCTTGCGAATAATAGTGAAATTGGTGACTTGAATTGAGCTTGTAATAAGCATTGTGTTGGTAGGAGCTTGGCAGCATAACACAGAGCTTAGAAACCTCGAGCTTATGAGATAAAAGGTGACTTACCAAGTTCAGAATATTTGTTCTCTTTTCAAGTTTATTCTTCTTTCTGCAGTACGTATGGCTCCTCTAGTTTTAATATTCTGGAATTCCAGGAACTGAATGTCTTCTTGTAATGTTTTCAGGACCATTTAGAACTAGGAAAGTGCTTAAAAAATACCTACTCGTGTTTTTTGATAAATTATAAAGATGTAGGGATTATATAAAACACACACACAAACGAGAAGTGCGATAGTAGTCTTTCGTACTCTGCCACCCCCTACATGTGTCACTACTCAAAGAAAGGAGTAGATTAGAAAAGGTTGTTTCATACACTTAGTGTGTTGGTTTCTTGTAATAATTGGTTATGAATTTGTGTCATATTGATCACACTCTCATTGCAGACGCATAATAGAAAAAGATGTACATGAGATGATAAGCCAAAGAAGTTTGATGAGGAAAATGAAGACAAGAGTGACAAATATGAAGAGTTGTGCGTTAAGAGGAAACACAAATGGAAGAAGAGGAACTAGAAGAACCAAAGTCAAATGATATACTAGATAAATGTAATATGTTGAACTAATAGATTTTATTATATTAATAATGATAACTTTTATGTTGTTTTTTGTTTCGTTTTGTTTTAGCGTACATGTTTCCTTTTGTTGCATCATGTTTCTTTTTGTAGCACCATGTTTGTTTTTGTTGCATCATGTTGCTTATTGTTGTTTATTGTTGATATTATTTCTTGTTGTTTATTTATGTTTCTATTTGTTTTTGCTACCTCCTTGAAATAAAAAATCATATATATATTTATATTATAACACCTAGAATGATAAATTTAAATTTATGAATATCGACAACAACTAGAAACACATGGAAACAACAAAAAACAAAAGTTTTAGAGTTATCAACAAAAAGAAACAATTTGCATCATAAGCTAACAGTAATATCATAATAACACTTTAAAAGTTTTATCATGTTACAAGATATTAAATTCAAATTTTCATTATTTTTTCAATTTTAGGTATTTTTTCTTGTTTAGTATTTCAATTTTCACATTTTTCGAGGTTTTATATATTAAACTCTTTGAGTTTACATTTTTTTTTACTTTTTTCAATTATATATTGCATTTTTCTATTATACATAAATTTTATTTTGAATTTATGAACATTTTCAAATTTTTATATAAATTTGACTTTTAGACTTTTTTACTTGGATTCAATTATGCATTCATATTTAAAAAAATAACTTTTTTATAAACAATTCTTTCTACTTTTCATATTTGTAATAGTTTAAAGCATTTTTATCTTGGTTTAAAAAAAACATTTTTATCTTATTTGACATATTTTTGGATAGTTTATAGTTTTAGATTTTTTTTACCTTTCTTCATTAAAGATCTGATTTGGTATGTTTTGACATTTTCTACATTATATATAAATTATATCAGATGTGTAAAAGAATTTTGGAGTACTTTATAATAAAGTACACCCTCTGTATTTTAATGTTTACTACAATAGGTTTGAGCACATTATTTACGAGTGAAATGATAGGGGTAATGAATCGTGTAGAAAACATAGAAGTGATAGTGAAAAAATATGGAAAAGAAGATAAAAAGTATAAAATGTAAGGGTAATTGAATATTTTTAAAGGAAAAACTTACCAAAATTGAAAATATATCAAATCTTAAAATATATCCCAAAAAGAGTGGGTAGCAAACATCAAAATAGGGAGGGAGAATTTTGTACGTACAAGTTTTTACATTTTAACTATTTTAATTTGTCCACATTTTAACTATTTTTGTTTTTTACGCTTTATTTTTTAGTTTTGTATTTGGGTAAATTATATACTACGTATGTTTTTTTGAAACTTTCTGACTTCATTTTGAAAATTTAAATCAAACTTGTTTTATTTTAATTTATTTTACATTGTTTTTTTCTTTTTGTATGGTGCGTGTTTTGAATTTTTAATTGGGTAATTCTATTGGCAGCCCAGTTTTTACTAAACGCAAACCCACATTTTATTAATCCCAATTACGCCCTTAAACACTTGACGTCGCTCATTAGATTAATTTAACGATGGTCATTTCCCGTTCTCCCGTATACCGTATCCCCAATCCAGCTCGTTAATGTCTGAAGTTTCCAAAAAGGAAACGAAGAGTCGAGCCCTTTCCAATTCACCCGTGCGTTGCACGGGATGCATTATCTAATTGTTACTGATAAATTGAATTATGTAATTAGTTACACGTGTAATTGTAAGGATTTGTGTTCATATTGTTTAGATGCCAAAGTTTATATATTAAAAACACAACAAATTATTACACAACTCTAATTAAAAAATAATTTACAACAATACTCCTAGTCGTAAGGATGGAGTCAAGTGTTAGCTTATGGTGTCAAATGACACCACTTGAAGTATTTAATCTGATCTTAGTATAAAATTATAAATTGAAAGTATTAAAAATGACACCTCTGTTTTTTATAAATAGGGTCAATGTATAAATATATCCCCTCCCTGAATCAGAAAAGACTTAAAACTGAAATTGACTAAATCGATTGGTTTTTTCTGAAATTTATAAAGTTTTGACTGAAGCGATTGTATTGGCTGATTATGCTAATTTATAAAAAAATTATATTTAAATTATATTTTATTAATAAAATAAAGAAAAAATTATATGAAAAAAGCTAAAATGGTTATCTACATTTACTTAAATAAATACACCAGAAAAGTAACTTCAACATTACTTTTTTTATTATTACACAACGCAATGTGTGAAATCAAAATTTACATGTTTGAATAGAAAGTTAATTGATAACCCTGATAAGCCGAAAAACAAAATCACGAAGTGACTTTTAATGTATGAAGAAACATGAATGAATCTGTGCATTGGAAATGAGTAACTATTTTCTTAAACTGAACTATTTTCACTTACTTCAACATTCGAGATTAAGAAAAAATAAAAGCGTCCGTAATGGTAAAACTGTAAAAGCATCTCAAGTTCTAAAAGTGTCACTGTGTCAGCAATACGAAAAAATCACTGTACTGAAGTTAGAAAAGGCATACTCTATAATAGTAGGTGACTTATTTGTGTATAACTAATAAAAATCACTTTATGGACCAATTAAAATATTTAAAATAACTAATTTACGCATAAATAAATAATGAGATCATGACCAATCAAACTTCCGCATTCGATAAAGGAACCTTAAACACATCCCCTCATGTTTAGAAAATCTATTACTACCGTACTACGTAATACACTTCAAAATACTGAATTAATATCATCTCTTTGTAGACCACAAACAATGCAACATTAATTAGGGTAGTTTTATAAGAGCATATGCTGCAGATACATAGCTAAATTTGCCTGAGACACGGCTAGCTAATATCCACAAGAAAGGGGGAGAAAAACCTGGGGAGAATAGAAACAACACATTAAAGCATTAATATACACCCTCCTGATGGGGGTAGGGGCGGGTTCAAAGCCGCCAAACCCCCCTAACCTCTCTGACTCTCTCCTAAATGGGGGGGGGGGGGGGGGGGGGGGGGATGCACTGGTTATAAAAAAAATCCAATGCCCCAAACTATATACGGAGTATTAATTAATCCTTCTATAGAAGAATAGCTGCTAGACATATATATTTACACAAAAACACAAGTGCCCATAAAATCTTCTGATCATCACCTACTGGAGGAGGAAACAAAAGATCTATCCTTGGTGCCTTTGAAGAGTTGATTGATCAATGGAGAAGAAGGAGATTGGAATTGGGAGACTACGGCTAGTGATGGGGCAGAAACTGAGCCTGTTCTTCCGGTTTCCGAGTGTAATTGAAGGAGAGATCACGGTTAGATGTTAGTGCCAGAATCTCTTTCTCCTTCACCCCCTTTGCAGGTCCCACATTGCCAGATCCACTCACTATATGTCCCATATTTGGCAATTGCATCTTTGAATTTCCTGATCTCTTACATAAACTTACAAAAAAATTGTTGCTTGCATTAATATAACCCCATACATAAAGAGTACATATATGGTAGTACATATATGGTAGTACATATGATCTTTTGTGGCAATTGCATCTTTGAATTTCCTGATCTCTTACATAAACTTACAAAAAAATTGTTGCTTGCATTAATATAACCGCATGCTCACATAGTTTTGTGGCTGTCTCAGAAGAAAGGAATTACGTGTGCCTCAGATATTGACAAAATCATATCTGCTGAGATTCCAGATGAGTGTTCAGACCCTGCTCATTACAATGCGGTCAAAGAGTTTATGATCCATGGACCTTGCGGCCATCTTAACAAGTCTTCGCCGTGTATGGATAAAGGTAAATGCACGAAACATTTTCCAAAGAAGTTCAACGAACGCACTAAAATGGATAAAAGTGGATATCCTATCTACAGGCGGAGGAACAATGAAAGACGCATCGTGAAGAATGATTGTCATCTAGACAATAGATACGTAGTGCCGCACAACCGTAATTTGTTGCTCAAGTATGGTGCACACATTAATGTTGAATGGTGCAACCAGTCACGAGCGGTGAAGTATCTATTCAAATACATCAATAAAGGTGATGATCGAATCACAATCGCATTCTCTGAGGCGGCAGATAGCTCTAAGCAGCAAAAAATCGATGAGATCAATATGTACTATGATTGTCGGTACATCTCTGCTTGCGAGGCTGCTTGGAGGATTTTCGGATTCCACATACACTATAGGGATGTGCCAGTTGAGCATCTTAGTTTTCATCTGCCCGGCGAGCAAAATGTGTATTATAGTGCAGATAAATCTGTCCAAGACGTCCTATCGAATCATATGATTCATGAGACAAAATTTACTGCATGGATGAGAGCAAATCAAGTCTACCCCGAGGCCAGAAAGTTGACATATGTTGACTTCCCTAGCAAATTTGTGTGGAAGAAAAAAATTAAACAGTGGGTGGAAAGACAGCGAAGTTTTGCGGTTGGACGTGTCTACTTCGTTCGCCCTGGAGCAGGTAAAAAATAATCACTATTCACCCATAGGTATATTAATTTCGATTTAACACTGTTCTTAATCAAACTAAAATGTTTTTGAAGTTCAATGTTGTTTGGTTCAGTTTTAAAAAATTAGAGTTTATTAATCCTCTCAATATAGCAATTGAGATTTAACGATGAAGGTGAGATTTTTAGAATGTGCAGTGAGATTATCCTATATTTATCGTACCCATGTGATTTTGTTTTTGTGTTTACATATATTGTGATTTGTGTATACTTTTGTTTGCACTGGAGCTGGTGAAAAATACTACTTGCGTACCTTATTAAACTGCGTAAAGGGACCAAGAAGTTTTGAGGAGTTAAAAATAGTTGACGGCATATTATATCCCACGTTTAGAGATGCTTGCTATGCTCGGGGATTGCTTTTAGACGACAATGATTACATTCATGCAATCACCGAGGCAGGTCTATGGTCAACCGCACCTTCATTGCGCGAAGTGTTTGTCACTCTACTTATTGCGGGCGCACTGTCAAAGGCGGACTTGGTATGGGAGAAATGCCGCCAGTATTTCTCAGAAGACATATTGTACAATATGAGAAGGACACTGAATGATCCAGGTATATGTGGATTTTGATATAGTCAATTAAAAGTATCTCACTTGGAATTTGACTTTTTATGATTTAATAGGTAATGTAGAATGTAAATCACATACCTAATATGACTAATATTTTTTGTAGAGCACGAAATGGATGATGAAGAGATAGAGAAATATTGTTTGGTGGAGATAGAGAAAATTCTCCAGTCACGAGGAAGATCATTACGTGACTTTATTGGAATGCCATTGCCTCCTGACTCATACATGCCTTCGATGGAAGATGTTCTCATTAATGAGGAAATGAAATATGATAAATGTGCTTTGAGTAAGGAGCATGAAAGTTTGATGGTTGATATGAATGATGAGCAACATGCTATATATGAGGAAATCTTGAAATCTGTAGACAGAAAAAGTGGCGGTGTGTTTTTCGTGTATGGATACGGTGGCACTGGAAAAACATACTTGTGGCGGACTTTGTCAGCGGCGCTCAGGTCCAAGGGGCAAATAGTACTCAATGTGGCATCTAGCGGTATTGCATCACTGCTTCTACCGGGAGGAAGGACCGCACACTCCAGATTCGCCATTCCACTGGATGCAACAGAAGATTCAACATGCCACATAAAGCATGGAAGCCCATTGGCGAGGCTCATCGAACGTACAAGGTTGATCATTTGGGATGAATCGCCGATGACACACAGGTACATGTTTGATGAAAAATTAATGCACAAATTACATCATTTCAAAATGATTTAATTAGTTGTAAAATGATCTGCAGGTATTGCTTTGAAGCACTTGATCGTAGCATGAGAGATGTCCTTCGCTACTCGCATGATTGTGATTCTACCATGCCCTTTGGTGGGAAGACAGTCGTATTTGGCGGGGACTTCAGACAAATATTGCCTGTCATTCCAAAGGGCACAAGACAAGACATTGTGCAAACGGCTTTGAATTCATCATTTTTGTGGTCATACTGCAGGGTGTTGAAGTTGACAAAGAATATGAGACTCGGGCGCGTGGGAGGAACATCTTACACAATAGAGATTCAAAACTTTGCCGAGTGGATATTGAAGATTGGAGATGGAGTCCTGGGGGACGGAGATGATGGAGAATCCATGGTTGACATCCCTGAAGAATTTATTGCTCCTATGGCGGATGATCCAATTGAAGCTATTGTTAAGATCACCTATCCCGATTTTGAAATGCACTGTAATGATGTTTCTTATTTGAATTCCAGGGCAATTCTTGCGCCAACTATTGATGAACGTGACATGATCAACGATTACATGTTGGGATTGTCTCCAGGAGAGGTAAAGACATACTTAAGCTCAGATTCAGCATCTTCTTCTGACTCAGACAGTGCACTCCTTCAAGAGATCCACTCTCCAGAATTTCTGAATACCATTAAATGCTCTGGTGTGCCAAGCCATGAACTGAAGCTGAAAGTGGGTGCACCTGTGATGCTAATGAGGAATATAGATCATTCCTCCGGATTGTGTAATGGCACACGCCTCATCGTCACTAAACTTGGAACTCATATTCTCGAGGCTCAGATGATGTCTGGAACAAACGCAGGACAAAAATTTCTCATTCCAAAGCTCAGCTTGACTCCATCCGACCTAAAGCTACCGTTCACATTTCAGCGTAGACAGTTCCCTTTGATGCTTAGTTACGCGATGACCATTAATAAGAGTCAGGGGCGGTCTTTGGAGAGGGTTGGTGTTTTCTTACGTCGTCCGGTTTTCACCCATGGACAACTTTATGTCGCGGTCTCAAGAGTGACGTCTCCATCTGGATTGAAGTTTGTTATATGTGATGATGATGGAAAACCGGCCAAGAAGACTATAAATGTGGTTTACAAGGAAGTATATAATAATTTGTAATTTTTTTAAATCTTCATTTACATTTGTTAAAAACAATAAATACGTTGATCTATATTTTCAACAACATTTTGTTATATTCTCAGATTATTTATTATTTACTAACTGCATCCCGTGCGAAGCACGGGTGAAAATCTAGTATATCCCAAAAAGAGTGGGTAGCAAACATCAAAATAGGGAGGGAGAATTTTGTACGTACAAGTTTTTACATTTTAACTATTTTAATTTGTCCACATTTTAACTATTTTTGTTTTTTACGCTTTATTTTTTAGTTTTGTATTTGGGTAAATTATATACTACGTATGTTTTTTTGAAACTTTCTGACTTCATTTTGAAAATTTAAATCAAACTTGTTTTATTTTAATTTATTTTACATTGTTTTTTTCTTTTTGTATGGTGCGTGTTTTGAATTTTTAATTGGGTAATTCTATTGGCAGCCCAGTTTTTACTAAACGCAAACCCACATTTTATTAATCCCAATTACGCCCTTAAACACTTGACGTCGCTCATTAGATTAATTTAACGATGGTCATTTCCCGTTCTCCCGTATACCGTATCCCCAATCCAGCTCGTTAATGTCTGAAGTTTCCAAAAAGGAAACGAAGAGTCGAGCCCTTTCCAATTCTCCCGCAAGCTAATCGAAATGGACGAAGAATGAACAAGACGAGCTCTTCTTCGTCATCTTCTTCGTCACGCAAGCTAGTCGAAATGGAAAGACATGGAAGACCCCGTTCCATTCATTGTTTGAAGTTAAGAAGCATCTTTGCAGGCCTTAAAGCGGGAGCCACAAGAAAAAGAAAGAAGCTTTCATTTGTTATCTTCCTGTAAGCTTTCATTTCGTTTCTGTTCATAAAAGCTTGTGAATCATGCTTTAGAATTTTTACGACTTCTGGATTACGTTTTTTATCTACGAGTTCAATTTCAACTCCGATTGTATATACGAAGTACGATTGTCTGTGATATTTGTCTGTGAAAACAAATATCTGTGAAAACGAATCTAATTAATTCAGATTCTCCTTTGTTGTTTCTAATTTATTTTAAGCTGAGGGATTTAAGCTTATATAATCTGAATTGATTATGTTGGTGGGTTGAATCGTACTTCTAGTTCCACCGGTCCCAGGATATTTTTCCTATTTGGTGTCATGCTACTACTGATCTGCTCCACTAGGGGAAGATTTAGGTAGAAATGCTAAACCTTCCAATGCTTAGTCTTTGATCTCATTGAATCTATAGCTAGATAAGAAGGATTCATTCACTTTTTGGTTCATGAGACATGTTAGGCTTATAAACACCTTAGGGACTAATAACTGCCATTTCTTTTATTAGGTAGTGAGGTTTGGGTGATGGCATGACATCATCAGTTTGTTGTTTTCTGAAGTTAAATAATCTATATACTTCTTGGTGCAGGCAATCTATTGATTTGTATAGTAGTCTACATTCTCCAAGTATCAACTTTCTGAGGACATCCTCATTGTCACGTTTGGGCAGTTTGTTTCTATCCTCAACACTTACAAAGAGACACACTCTTGAGATCTTGCCCACACTCCAAAAGCCACTCTTAAGAAGAGGAGAAAAAGGTGAAGCTCCCATTCTTTGCTTCCTCCTAAACCTTCTTCCCTATCCTATGCCTTGCCTTGACTCATGACGCTCCCATGCCTCAACATATATATCTCCTTTGGTCAACCAGTGATAAACGGTATCTCTTTTGTCTTACCTCATTTACAATAGTCGTTCAGGTTTAGCCTGTATCATATACCACTAGATCCTAGTTATTGGTTTCCACTCCTATATCATTTTACTATGTTTTCTCTTTCTTAAAGTTTTATGATGCAAACTGCATCTTAAGATTTCATACAAATATCACAGACAATTGAGGTAGTTAAAATGTAGTTTGATTAATGGAGGGTATTTCTTCAACTATATGAAGTTATCAGTGATTTTTGTTGGGCTAAAAGTTATCAGATCATTCAATTGAGTCAACCTAACTAATTAATTAAGAAGAGATTATTTTAAAAAGGACTAAAATATAGACAATGTGTACAAATATAAGTATTTTCCCCTCAGGTTTACATCAAGTGTCATTTTGGAGAAAAAAGTGTTTTATAATATGGCACTATTTTTCTGAATTTTCTTTAAAAAGTTACGTATAGACCCTATTTCACCTGATATTTACATATTGCTTGACATTTAGCTAATAAAATAATTAGGTAGCATACACATGGAAGCTCAAGTAGTTTTTCTGAAATCCAACGTACATGAAAAACTTAATGAATTAGTTCAAGGTCATCAAATAACTTTCTCCATCCAGCTGTCCCTTACTTAAAAAAATTGAATTGCTTAAAAAACTAATGGCTACAAAGTAATAAAAAACTCCAACTGCTGCAATGAAGGTGAGTGAGGCCTTTCTTCTCCCAATAGTTCAACATTGATCAAAAGTGTGCTGAATCTGACAGCTCCTACAATAAGAAATGCAAGTTTTTCTGTCAAGTAAAAAACATATCAAAAGTAATAAAGTATAGATTTAATAGGATTAAATACAGACAAAAATAATATGCCAAATTTCGTAATGACCAATACATATTCTAATGAGTGATGTACTATTAAACTTTGAGTAAAATGAGAAGTTTACTAAATTGTTAAGTAACATTCTTTATGAACAAAGAAGCAATCAATGTATTCTTCAAGCATTAGCCAAAAAAAAGACCACAACCTGATAACTGGGTGTAAGAAACTCAGTTGACACTTTGATCCAGTCACACATAGATGGCTTAGATAGTTACATATGTTAGCTAATTAAAGGGAAAAATACCTGCATTTTGAACTAAAATATGAGCGAAGGTTCTTGAAAAGTGAAAAGTACCTGCATCGTGATAATGCCATATAACAAGAGTTATATATACGAAGAAATAGTATTATAAGTGTGCTCGTAACTATCAGTTTTTTGCGATGTACCTATATGCTATCTTCAATGTTAATAACTTCCTTACTACAATCACCCACATGGGCTGAAAGTATGCCATTAAATTCCTTAATACGATCTAAGTATGGGGTCTCCCACCCTGCCGCGGTGTCAAGTCTAAAATGTTTCCAATTTGCAACAATGGGAGGTATTGGCGCATAAGGATCCATTGAAACCTACAATACATATATAAAATGTCAACATATAAAATTATTTAAATTAATATATTCAATATACAATTCCAAAATGTGCATAGTAAATATTAGAATATAAAGTATAATAAGTAATGTAAGTACCTGAACAAAGTGATTGTCATTTACAAACCCTAACACTAAGACCTTATGATTTTGTTGTACGGGGGGATTACTTCGAAGAGGAAGAAATGTCACACACACCGCCTTACAAAGGTAGATCAACACCACGTTATATTTAGAAGCAATCAAATGGCCCATGGCAGGTAGAGTCATCCAATTCTTATATGGTGCCGGAGCTCTAAAATATGACAATTCGTCGAGCAATCCAGCAACATTTTCAGCGGACTCATACAACTTAACATAATAAAGTCGATAATTGCATAACTCTTCTATTAACTCTTCACGAACTTTTGCCCAGTTTTCTTCTCCATAACCTAGTAAAGAAGAAATAGCACGAAATCCGCAATGTCCATCGGGCTTGACATCAATGATGTCAAAAATATACGAGTGTAAGTATGGGGGAAAAGAATCCAAATACTTTAGAAGACTTTTGGATTTTTTCCCTGCTGTTTTCTTCTTCACTTTTCGAACTGGAACACATTTTTTACTTAATTCAGAGTCTCGCTTAGCAACTTGTGATTCAACAATTTCATAGTACGAAGGGTCACGCCGAGTAGATGATGTTGCCTTCAAAAGAGGACGACCTTTTGTCTTAGCTTTTTGCGGCGGTGGTATTAGGAATGTCGTTGCTGGATCACCTAATTCTCTTAATTTTCTCTTCAATGTCAGCTTTCCAGCTTGATCAGACATATGAAATCGTGTCCATATGCAATTCATCTCAATATCAATACTCATTTCAAATGAGGTTTCACCTTCTTGATGTTTTTGCAAGTTTAACTTCATCCAATGAGGATTGATATCTGAAATTGGAATGGGTTGAGCACATATGACATGCTTCGCAATTTCATGTGCACAAGGTAAGTCATGTGTGCTTGTGATTACACACCCACATAAATTGGCATCGACACCAAATGTAGTTGCTCTTTCAGATTCAATCAGAATTAAGTTCAATGCTTTTCTTGATACTAATCCGCGCAAGTCTTTAAACAATGCAGGATTGAAATTGTGTTCAACCACATTAAGACTTTGCTCAAAAGAAGCCTTAATTTCGGTGTGTGGCAACTCAATTAGAGCATTGATTATCGTCCAAGAACAATCAAAATCGAGTTGACTGGAGCCAAGCCATTTTTTCAATTTTGCATGTGCACTCTCAGCTCTGCAAAAGTTAAAGAACACAAAATTTTTGAAACTTGGTAAATTCCTAAATATTGAAAATAGAAAAAATTTGAACATCATACCTATTCGTTGTCAAATTTCCAAAATGCATGATTTTATTGGTCCAGGCCGCTACAAATCTCTCTTTATATGGATTCAACCATGTGTCTCTTACATATTGAATGTGACTGGGATACCTCTGGTAGTCACTTTCAATAGCATCTAAGTTTTGAGCATACTCCTTTTCACTTGAAGAAAACATCAAGACACTCCAAGCTGCCATGAAAGCGTCAGACTCATCTTTGGATTTAAACAACTTTTTAGAATTGGCAAGAACATTTTTCGTGATATGAAATCTGCAGAGAAGATTTTTTGCTTCGGGAAACACTGTCTTAATAGATTTCATCAATGCCAAGTCTCTGTCAGTGACAATTACATTAGGCATAATATTTGTCGCCATCAATGATTTTAACTTCTCCATTGCCCATGTGTAGTTTTCTTCACGCTCGGCCTCCATGTACACAAATGCTATAGAAAATGTAAGATCTGTACATGTCACACCAACTATCTCTAGGAATGGAAAGCCATATCGATTGGTTTTGTAGGTACAATCCATAAGCAACACCAAAGGAAAGGCATGTAAAATATT